TCACATTTTAGAATGACCTACACATGCTAAAATATTTTTAACTAGCAGAAACATATCCTAACATCTCAAAAGGTTAAAATAAAAGCAGAAAATCTTGGACTAGCATGTCTAGAATGCGACGTTGTTAAAACCCAATCCAATTGATAGTTTGACCATGAAAATTTCATTGTGAGTCTCAATTAAAAGTACATCTCAAGATAGATCAACCCAAGTAATCTTTGATAGATCAAGTCTCAATAATTTGAACTCTAGTGAAATTTTTGGGCTCTATAAAAGTACATCTCAAGAGCTTTCACATTTATACCTTAACAATAAATCAATTCATTGCACTTGTGCCAAAGTTTACATTAATTTTTTTTAAAGGGTAACCTTACCAAAGCTTCCTCAAGCATTCAAAAAAACCAAGGAATTTTTTCCTCTCACTTTTGAGATCAGTTTATATCTTACCATCATGCTTGATGGGAAGCCACTCTAGGTAATGTTGGTAAAAAATGAGAAAAGAAAAACTAGTGTCGTAGTATATAATGTGAGGAGATAGACCCATGAAATCTATCGTGTAAAGGGATTTGTTGATATCATGATTTTCAGTTGTGGTTCTTTCTGAGAGAACTAAAAACTAAGGGTAGGAACCTTGGGTAAGTGACAAGTTACAAAAGATAAAATTAAATATTAAATATATGTTTATTTCTTTTTCATATTAGGAATTACCTATTTAGCTAACCCAATATTTTTCAATATATGGTGTCAACTCATTCAAATATGTATCAATGCAACCTAACTTGTGTTGAACCTTCAAAATAAAAATAAAATGTCCTAAAATAATTTAAATATAGAAAAATATTTTAAAGAACCAACTCATCTCCCTTTTAGTATTCTATTTAGCCCACCTTAGGACCACTATGGTACATTTTTATTTCATGTTTAAACATATAGTAAAATTAGAGTGTATAAAGTTTAAAAACTTTTATAGAGCACTGTGTACAGAATTAGAATTTGTAATTTAATTGAGGAAATTAGATTTGATGGTTTTGATTCACTTTAGTGTAAGAAACTATTTAATTTATAAGAAGAAGAGAGAAGTTTATAAATCATATTGGCACATAATTTTAGAGTGATTTGGCCACCAGCTTACATTTACCATCCTAAGAGTTATGCCCTTGAATTTCCATTAATATTACTTGAAGATTACATCAAAGTACTAGAGACCCAAGAAATAAGTAGTGTTTTGGGCTATCGGTTGATCTAGTCCTAATGAAAGTAAAAACCAAATAGACAGTAAATACCACTTATGATCATGTAATTAGAAATTAAATATACTCTCCAGCTACAAGACATCTTACTATTGATGAAACTAGCAACCACATTGTTTTCAGGGCAATAATTCTACCATTGGATATTTGACAAGTATCATGACATTGTCAAGTCTCCAACAACTTTAATGGCATTGAAGGGTGGATATAGGTGTTCTCTCCCTCTCCCTCTAATGTTGAAAAAAGTCCCCTCTTTATCAGATGAGTTTTGGGCATCCAATTGCCATATACAATGACTAATAATGGCTAGAAGTTGCATTGTTTGTTATCACATTAACTCTTGAATTTTAAAAAAATATTTATTTTTCATATATAATTAATATTTTTTCCTTATTTAAATTTTAGATGTGTCATGTATTACATCACATTCACTTTTGAAAAATATTTCTGAAGAATATATACGCATCCATACTAATGACAAAAAATTTGGTCTAAAATATACTTCAAATGATCGTGTCAAATTCTCACTGTCTTTTAAAGCATAAGATCATTTCACAATTTAACTCTCAAATTTTGATTTACTTCAACTATAATAATCAATAAAGGTATCTCAATAATTCTCCACGCTAAATTAAACACAGAGAGTAGAAGGCTGATCAAATTTGTGTACAAAAAATTAAACTTACTATTCTTTGCCCATTAAATGGTTTAATTGAATTCAGCAAGTTAATGATTTAAAATTCACTCTACAATTTATTATTATTTTTAAATTTAATATTAGAATTGATAATTAAACTAGCCACTTTGAAGTGTTAAAATTAAAACATCTAATCTACAGCTTTTAAAATGGAACAATTAACACATTTAAAGATCTTTTAATTCAGGTCTGGTAAACTTTTACATTTCTTCATCAAGAAACCAAGATTCCAACACTCTAGATAGAAAATGTGCTCTTAGAAGGGTATTGGAGACACAAACATGAGCTAGTATTAAAAGTAAGTGGTTTTTAAGTCTAGTCACATATTATACACAAACATTAAATAGGTTTATGTTCTCCCTATCTTGGGTTTTGATTCAACCATCATTGGTGTGGTCCAAATTAATATTAGGTGAGGAGACAAACTAAGTTTCTAGATGAAACCACAAGAGCAGAGTTGGGGCCATAAGTGAAACTAATTATGTAGGTAATTCAAAGATTTTGGGTATAAAACATTAATCATTTTCCAACATCCAAAACAGAATGAATTAAATATATCATTTCAGGAGTGACAATTCAGCAATATTGAATTCAATTACCAAAAACCCTCTTTTAAAATGTAGTGGACACAAAACACTTCCATACTCATCAAAAAGTCAATGCTTAGTAGTTCTCTTCATTGGTAAGGAACCTTTAGAACACAAGTACAACCACTCTAGGATTTTCAAGTTTAGGCTTATATTCTAAAGTGTAGTTCTCCAAACCCTTGTTGAACATTCTAAGAGCCTTGATCACAGTAAAACAGTGGAGTGCATGTCAATGGATGTCCCTTTGATAACCAATTTCCCTTTAAATGCCTAATTTTATTGATTGAAATGATCCTCATGAAGTGAAAAGTCAATTGAACTCAATGATGATTCAACCCCTTGTAGAGAGTGATTGCCAAAAAAATGAAATGAAACTAGTTATCATAGTTAGAGGACAAGTTACCCATCCATAATGCAATAAATTTGCATACCTTATAAATTTTGAGCTCAAACTATTAAACGACATTCAAGTAGATTTGTCCTCCAGTTGAATGTATGATGCAAATGAAACTCGTGCATAATAGTACTAAACAGTCTATCAAGTGTTTTTTTTTCTCTCAACAAAGATTATAATCATGTTGTGAGGTTATGTCGTCTATTTATTAATTCTAGTTGGACACTGATCAAAGTAAACAATAATTAGTGCATATCATATATTCACTAAACAATTAAGGATTTGGCACTTCCGATGCATTATCGAAAACGTCAGTATATATATGGGATCCAAAACAATTCAAGAATTTTACATCTTGATCATGTGATGCTATAAATAGTAGTAATGGCGCCAATGTCTCATCCAAGACTGGGACTCTTTATGTGTGTGAGAGAGAGAGAGAAAGAGAGAGCATTAGAAAGAGAGCATGAGAGAAAGAGAGACTGGGACTCTTTAGTTGTGATGCTTTCTTGAAAATGGGTTGCTCAACGCGAACGGTGGTGACAGTGAGTGGACAGTGCTCTTGTCAACATCGGAGAAAGAGGATTCTCTTGTGTCTGAACCAGGCAGGTGTGCATGAGTGACTGCGACGAGCTGCGTTCATCTCTGCCCTGGTCGGGGAGGGGGGGGGGGAGAAAGCGACTGGTGCATTGACAGACGCTAGTGCCATTGTTGTCATCGCCGTTATTGATCTTGGGATGGAGGAGAGAAAAACGGCAGAAATACATGTCATTGCCAGAAGAGAATAACGGCGACACCCAACATCTGCACCTATATGTTCTTTCTTTGCTCAGAAAAACTCAAATCTGGCGAAAATGTTGATGGGTTCGGATTGAAAAGTGTAGGGGGGATGTTTAAATTGTTCATATTTTTACTAAAAAACTTCTTCAATCCTCTTGAATTATTAGCCTATTTTATGGAAACTGTGATAAATCACAATTATCGAAGAGCCTGTTTATTCGAAGTCTATATTTTCTGTCTTGGGCTCGGTTGAAATTATCGAAGAAGAAAACTATTAAGCAAACTGCGGTCTATCTAGGAGGGTTTGATCACATACGTAGTTTCTATGTACATTTTCCATGGAAAAATCAGGCATCCTCTCCCTTTTGTTCGTCGTTTATCCCCTTATTCATGAAATTAATGTGCCCCCCCTCTCTCCCCCTGCTTTCCACCAGGTACCATCTATGTGCATTTTTCAGATACATCATTTAGAGCTATTTATTTCTGATTTATATTCAAAGAGATATCTTCCTTCGCTTTTAGTTTTTACATTTTTTTCCAAGAAGGTGGCGATGACTGCATCATGGTTGAATACAAAACGATTTCATTTCACTACGTGAATTAAATTAAATGGGTTCAGACTTTACAAATACGTCATGTGACTGGCTTAATTGATATCGAATTTTTATTTCCACTTTATATTTATTTTCTTTTATTTCCCGTGGGGGAAGGTTCATTATCCGATTCCCGTTGATATGCTTTGATTTGAGTCTATGAAAATCCCATATGGAATCATTTATCAGTCGCTGAGATGGATGGACATTCCTTTTGAAGCCCATAATCCCATACGTTATGGAGAGATTATGTAAAAAAAATAAAAAATGATCCCAACTTAGGTCTGTCGTCTGGTCATTCATTACATTGTTCTTTTGGTTTTGCTCCTAAATGCGATGTGCTGAGGAACAACCAAATCACAAACGTCTGTGCATCTGGTTTTGCATAAATCCAATCATTCTCATCCCACGCTCCAGTCAAAGGCATTTCATACTTCTTTTCCCGATTTCCTGGATACCCACCCGTTGACTCTGCTGGATTCCCACCCGTTTACTTCTTCTTTGCTCAGGCTGTATTCTGGGTAAGCAAAGAATTCAAAAGATCTAGCATTGAAGTTCTAAGCGGATAATTTTGAGGAGTTTACATGCATAATAATATGAATATTTGCTTTGGGAAAAACGAAACAGAAGAACAGATCAACTGCCATTTCTGCCCTGTGTGACAATCCAGCATCTGCTTATGTGTCCGAGCCACTCAATTCAGTTCCAACCCCCTGGAACTTGCTGGAGAATTCGGTCACGGATCTCTGCAAATGTCCTCACTTCTGATCCCCATAACCTGAAAGTATTGCATCGGTGATTCAGTTTCAAGCACCAGGAAAAGGAAAACAAAAACTCTTGGTGATCCAACTCCACCATTAGCAAGCTTCAGGAATATGATAATATTGGTCAGCTCTTTTTACGGTGATTTAGTTTCATAGGTAACACGAGCTCACCACGTTTATCAGACGAATGTGTGTTCAAGAATTCACACAACATGGTGATCCAGGTTAGATCTCTGCCCAGTGAGGATGAAAAGGAAAACTAGAACGCAGGAGGGCCGGCCTAAGAAGGGGAGGAGATGAATTGAGATGCAGCAGCCATTACCAGCAATCGATCCCAATAGCGTTCGCGCCTATCTTATCTGCCTTTTCATCGTCCCCAACATGAACTGCTTCACTGGCCTGGACGCCCAGCTGATCTACAATCAACAAACACCCACAATTATTGCAGACTGTGGAGACCAACAAATGTCAAACACATGCAAAAGAGCAATAGATGCTAATGCCAAGTGTTCCCATGAAGATAACATTGAGCGCTGGCATTATCTGCAGAAAGAAGCAAGGGAATGGGTGTTGGATGATTCTAAAATTTATGACTACACGATCTGTTCCTTGGTTCTTCACAGAAAACAGTTACTTCTACTTCAACAAAGATAGCAGCTTGACATAGCTGCAGTGGACAATGGTACCGTGTTTCTTGAATGTACCATGAAGGTCTGTCTAATGTTGTTTGGTGGCAATAGTGTTGTTGTTTCATCTGAAGAGAACCATAGGTGTGGAATCTCTCAGTTTTCCAGAGAGGAAGGACAGTTTTTTTTCTGCAGGCACAGCATGATCTTCCATGAAATCACAGAGGAGTAACCTCGGTCTGTCACAACCTCACCCATTGTCTATCTGATTTTCTTTCTTTTTGCCAGGAATCTGCGTCACTAAACTAAGCATCATATCATCTAGCATCCCGGACACAATTACAGTTTCAGATTTGTTTCTTTTGATCTCTTGGAAAAACCCAACACAGATATTTCTACCAACTAATATTGCTGATATCCACGCATCCAAACGGAAATTGGCAGAAAAAAAAAAAAGCTTGTATGGCCCCACTTAATTTCATCCCTTCCAATTTCACCGATGGCAATGTGGAATCAAATCTGCATATTTCTTTTCAAATTTTTTACAGTATCCTGAGAAGGGAGGGAGAGAGAGAGAGAGAGAGAGAGAGAGAGAGAGAGAGAGAGAGAGAGAGAGAGAGAAATGTATCTAATCTTGAACGGTACCAATGGATGACAGTCACCAATACCTAAAGCTGCTTCAAAGATCCTTGAATCTGGCTTCTCATATCCAACCTCTGAAGACACTATGATGGCGTCAAACCTAACTGGGGCAAAACACAGGATTATTCTTAGATGAAGAACACCTTCAACACAAAGAAATAGATTTATGGAACGTATCTACATGCATAGCGTGAGTTTGTATGTGAAACAGTGTTATTGAAAGTTTATGGAAAATATATTTAATTGTGGAACTCACAAATATCTAAAAAAAAATTAGCAACAAGAGTCGTAAGCATTTCAGTAGATTGTGCATCCCATGGGATGATACGAGAGAAACTAGTCATGAGTTTGGCCTTTTCAAATGCTCATTGCATGGCCCTGGAAGGTCAACCGCTGGAAAGCATAAGACAATTCGTTTTATTGGGAGAACAGTCGAAGTGAAGTAGACAAGATAACTCACAGGTTAGCAACGCTCAGATCCCTCAGCAGCTTGGGCAAACGAGTGTCGAAGTTAGAAACAACAGCCAGCTTGACTGAACGGGGAGAATAATGCCGATGTGTCAGAGACTAGCAGATATCACGATGGTGAAATCAAGAAGATGAAGATGGCGACGACCTCCGGCATCCCTCAAGCAGCAGAGCGTTTCATGCGCGCCAAGAGGTAGCTTCCACGCATCCCCATTTGCAAAGTGCTGAGGAATCATCGTTCAATGTTTCAAAATCTTTCTTTTTCTTTTTTTTTCTGAAGGCAAGATGTTAATGATGGAATTCTTAGGCAGATTTTTTTTACTCTTTCATGCTGGCTGCTGTTTTTTTCTTTCAAAAATTTGATATCAAATAGAACTTCATGTGTTCACCTTGTAAACTTCTTCGAAATAGTCGATGCTGGGGCACCCTGTCGCCTCTGCGACCACAGCTTTCCAGAAAGCCCTCCCATCGCCCTGCCGCACCACCAGAGAAGAAATCCTTCAATTCTTCTTCATCTTCGATGGCACCGACAGCGATCTCATTTTCAGGAGAATTTCTTATTTTGAAGCTTATAGTTGCTCTGAGGAACTTCACTGAACCTGATAGCGAAGCTTCTCAGGCCAGGGAGCGGCGAAGGCCCTCCGGAACCCTTGCTTTATCTCGCTCGCGGCGGCGTTGACCCCTGGGAAGATCAATAAACAGGAAACCAGAGCAATGTGAGGAACACCCTGATTCCACGGAGCGTCAGAGCTTCGTTGGGAGAAGAGAGAAGAGGGAGGTGGCCTTCACGGACCGTGCTTGCGGCCGATCGAGGCGTAGGTATCTTCTACAGGCCTCGCGAGCTGCAGGAGGGTACCCCCGGCGTCCAGCAGCAGTGCGTCGTACTTCCTTCGCCGCCCCCCGTCTCCGTCGCCGCCGTCACGGCCACCGGCGGACGCACCGAACATCGAACGGCGGGAGAGCTCGGAAGCAGAAGCAGAGAACGTGCCGAGCCTGGTGGAGCTCATCCCCGGCGGCGGCGCGCAGGATCTGGCGGCGGCGCGGAGGGCCTCCATTCCCGTCCCTCCCCCTTCTGTCCCTCCGTAAACCTCGGAGGACCCCCGCAGGAGAAGATCAAGCCTTTGAGAAGGAAGAAGAAGAAGGAAAGAAGGGGGCAGCGTAGGCCCACTTAGGCCCACTTAGGCCCACTTAGGCCCACTTATTTAACGAAATAAAGATTAATAAGTTTCTTTTCTTTTTTTGGTTAGAGTCAATGAGGCCCATCGACCCTCTTTTTTTTTCTTTTTATCAGCGGCCCACTTATATAATTATTTTATTAAATTAAATACCAAAAATAGATATGAACTATAGTTTGATGACACATTAGAAATATTGATTTAATAATGATCTGATCAAGCAGTCGCAGCATGGGTAGGTTGTACATAATTGAAATATCGTCATTAAATCTACCAAAAAAAAAAAAAAACTGATTTCTGTGAAGATGAAGAATCCTGGACCCTCGAGTTCACAAGGGCTTGATCTAGAATCTACATGATCAGAATAATTCTCATTAATATAATGCATAGAGTATGATAGAATCTACCAAATGTCAGTGAGATTTGGTAGGTTTGATATAAATAAAATTGAAATGCCCCACTAGACATTTGAACAGTGCCAACAATCTAGTTATAGCAAATCTAGAAGAGAGAAGGTTTTGTTACAATGTCCCTAAGTAATATAAACATTATTAATAATATAAAATAATTATTTAAAAATAAAAATAAAACATGGTGGAATTGAGATTTTTGACATATTTAACATGTGTCCAAATTTCTTATTATAGCATAATGGGCCAAAATGACGTCTTCATAGGACTTGAGCCTCCGAGTCCACTTGAATAGGGCTGAAATGGCTTGTGCCTATGTTTGTTTGACCACTTCACAACCATATGTTACTACTCACCCCATGTGCTCCTTCTTGATCTCTCGGTCGCTCTCAATTGGGCCATGCGTATATATGCATGTTTTATGTTACTGATGTAATTAACTATTATTTAGTAAATAATTTAATAATAATTACTTGGTATTCGTGGGGTCAACTGCTATTTATAAACGGTCTAATAGTAATCATTTGATAATTGAAAAAAGCCATTGTTCCTTGGTGCGGGTTGACCTACGGGCCTAGGGGGGCTTGTGGGGAGAGTTGACTTCGAATACCCATTTTCAGAGTTTTGTTGAGATTATTTATCGGAAAATCAGGTTGAGGATGATCACGAAGCATTCGTTTTTTCTTTTTTTTTTATAAATAAAATTAATTATGCATTGGTGGTTTGTGCTGTGTTTCAGCCCAGGATTAGACCATGAAGATCTATTTACTCCCAATTATAGAGTTCGAATTATTCTTGGAAATTAATCCGATTCGGGCGATCAGGATATTAGGTGATCTCATCTGGGTGGGGGAAGAAATTATGATTTTTGTGACTTGCAGACGAAGAAAATGGTTGATTGGAGATCCCAAGACGACGGAGGGGAGAGAACCAGGTCGAGCTGAGAGATGCAGACCGGTTAAACCCTAACTATTTTGAGCTATTTGACCTATTTGAGCCGGGCTCCTCTCGTCTCCCCTATTCGGGGCTCCTCCACTTCCTTCCCTCTGCCACTGGGGGAAGTGGAGGCAGCGAGAGCTAGGGTTGATATGCTCGGAGAGAAGCGGAGAAGAAGAGGAGGAAGAGGAGGAAGAAGAAGGGTCCTTCAGTTCCTGCGGGGGAACCAGAAAGCTTCCGTTTTGTGGGGGAATTGTGCTCGAACGGCGCTGGGAGCCTGAACCAGAGGACGACCCGAGAGAAGATATGTCTGCGAAATGGCGGGCGCTGCAGCACCGCCATCGCTACACCTACAGCTCCGTCGTCTTCCCCGCCTCCTTCCTCCGTGCTCTCACTTCTCTCGAGTCTGCTGCGCCTCCCTCTTCTCGGCTGGTCTCCAGGTTCCTCTCTGAGCTGCGGATCGTCGCCTCCCTCGACACCACCTACGCTCAGGTCGCCGCGGCCAAGGACCTCTCGAACTCCTTCGCGGAGCTCCTCGCCGGCGGCGATGGCGGCGCCGCCGGGGATCTCGTTCCGGCCGCCGCCGCGCTCTACCTGGAAATGCTGTTCGTCGAGAACTCCCTCCCGCTCCACCGGACGCTCATTTCCGCTCTGGCGAGGAGCAGGAAGGCTCTTCCCATGGTGGAGAGCTGCCTGGTTTCCCTGTGCCGGGAGCACGGAAGGCTGGGGAGGGAGGGGAGGAAGCCCTTCCTGGTCTCCCGGGCCTTGTTGTCGCTGATTAGCTACCCCAAATTAGGGTTTCTCAATGGTGTGCTGGGAAGGTGCGCGGCCATGGCGGGACTGGACGTCTCTGTGGGCGTAGCTGGAGTGGCCGAGGATATCGGGCTTGGGTCTCGCCCTTCACCGGCGGTAATGGAGCAGTGCCAGGATGCCATGTCGTGCCTGTACTACTTGCTCCAAAAGTTCCCATCCAGGTTCGGAAGCTCGGATCAAAGGGAAAAGCAGGAGAAAGAAGAAGAAGATGATGATGAAGAAGAAGAAGGCTCAACTGGTTTCGCGTTGATTCTGGAAGCGATAGTGAGGGTCTTGAAGTCGTCTTCTTTCTCCAGGGATTGCCTGGTGGCCGCCGGAGTGAGCTTCTGTGCAGCTCTCCAGACGCGGCTGAGCTCTGATCAGCTCGCAAGTTTCATCGCCTGGGGATTTTTTAGGATCGATGGCGGCCGGTGGCAGAGCTTCGACACCAAGATGCCGATGGGAGGGGTGGATCTGTTCAAGGAGATTAGCGAATTTCCGGTTCTGGGTAGGATCTGCCTGCTCAGGGGGATGCTCACTGCTGTTCCCCGGGCCGTTCTCAACACCCGATTTGGCGGCTCCAATGGTCTGATCCTGTGGACGATTCTGTATGATGGGATCCTCCCCGAGCTCTGCAATTACTGTGAAAACCCTGTGGACAGCCATTTCAACTTCCATGTGCTCACTGTGACCCAGATCTGCTTGCAGCAGATAAGAACATCTCTCTCTGCCGATCTCACTGACTTCTCCCAGGATTATGATCCTCTTCCGGGCAGCATCACGGCCCGTCTGCTGAGAATTATTTGGAACAACCTGGAGGACCCTCTGAACCAGACGGTGAAGCAGGTCCACCTCATCTTCGACCTCCTCCTGGACATCGAATTGCTGGTTCCGGCTGGAGAAGGTGCGCAGGGAAGGAACCAGTTCCTGTATAAGATAGCCTCGGACCTCCTCCGCTTGGGGCCCCGCTGCAAGGGCAGGTACGCCCCCTTGGCTTCCCTCACCAGGCGGCTGAGTGCAAAGACCCTCCTCGACCTGAGCCCTCAGCTCGTCTTTGACTCCATAAATGCATACATGGATGATGATGTGTGCTGCGCCATCACATCATTCTTGAAGTGTTTCTTTGAGTGCTTGCGTGATGAGTGCTGGAGCAGTCATGGGGTTGACCAAGGCTATGCCGAGTTCAGGGCACTGAGCCTGCCTCCTGTCATGCAGGGGCTTCTTCATGGAACCTCGAAGCTTCGTTCAAACCTGAATACCTACGCCCTGCCCGTTGTTCTTGAGATCGACGTGGACAGCATATTCCCCATGCTTGCTTCCATCTCCGTTGGGCCGAATCAAGAAGAGAGCGAAACCCGGAAGATGGATGCGACCAGCGGGCAATCAGATGCCATATTGGAGAGTACCCAGTTCATGAATGCGGTCGGTGGGCACGCGGATGATGAGCTGGGAAGGAAGCAGTGCATGGATGTGGCCAGCGGGCAACGTGTGGCAGCTCTGGTTTCTCTGCTGAAGGTGTCCCGGCAGCTTGCTTTGGTCGGAGGTGACATAGATTGGGACGGTGGCTCTTCAGCTCATGCAGCTCTCTGTGTGAAGGGTGTGCGTGTCAAGGTCCCCATCGTGTGGTTTGTGCATGCGCTCACACATGTCGATGAGAATGTCCGCGTTGATGCTGCCGAGTCTCTGTTCTTGAACCCCAAGACGGCCAGCCTTCCTTCGTTGTTAGAGTTGAAGCTGATGAGGGAGGTGGTGCCGCTGAACATGAGGTGCTGCTCGACAGGCTTCCAGATGAGGTGGACCAGCCTGTTCAGAAAGTTCTTCCTCCGTGTTCGAACAGCTCTGGAGAGACAAGTCAAACAGGGTTCTTGGTTGCCCAACGAGGGCTCAGTCAGCAATGGAGATGCCTGTGCTGATCATGGCAGATGTGAAGACATCCAAAGGGCGAGGAATCTGTTAAGTTTTATGAAGTGGTTGAGCGCCTTTCTTTTCTCGTCATGCTACTGTTCAGCTCCATACGAGAGGAAAACCATGGCCATGGGGCTTCTTCTGACCATGCTCGATGCATGGCCCGCAGTTCCTCCTCCGCAAGGAGGTGCAACTCTTTACCCTTACAGTGAGGGGTTTACTTCTCCCGAGTTGACCCTGTCACTAGTAGGATCTATAGTTGACAGTTGGGACAGACTTCGAGAGAGCTCGTTTCGGATTCTTCTGCACTTCCCTAGCCCTCTTCCGGGGATGGCGAGTTGTGAGTCGGTGAAGGGTGTGATAAGGTGGGCGAAGAAGTTAGTCTGCAGCCCGCGCGTTCGGGAGAGTGATGCTGGAGCGTTGACTTTGAGGCTCATATTTAGGAAATATGTGCTCGAACTTGGATGGGTAGTATGGGTTTCAGATGACGTTATTTGCCATAGTTCACAGTCTGAGATGACAAACGGCAGCTCAAAAATAGGAATGATCAAGAACAGGGCCAGTTTGGTGCAGTATATCTCATCACTGATCGACTGGCTGCGGATCGTTGTCGAGCTTGGCGAGAGGGATCTTTCTGAAGCATGCAGGAATTGCTTTGTTCATGGTGTGCTGCTGGCACTCCGTTACACGTTTGAGGAGTTTGACTGGAGTCTCATTGTCAACTCATCGAGTAGTTCTGACATGAAGAGTGCTCTGGAAGAGCTTCTGGGTCTAGTTATGAGGATAACATCATTGGCCCTCTGGGTGGTCTCTGCGGATGCGTGGTATCTGCCTGATGAAACGGATGATATGGACAATGAGGAAGCTTTTATCTCGGATATGTCGGTTGAGAGGGATCACGACCCATCGCTGCACTCCGAGGGGAGTTTAAAGCTTGCGGAGAATGCTCAAGCGGCCGATCAGGCTGTAATGGTTGGCTGTTGGCTTGCCATGAAGGAGGTAAAGGGTCAATTACTTTAATAAGTATCTTTATATTTAATCCTTCTCTACAAAGTTGATTGCTTCTCGCCATGTTATTTATTACTTTAATAAGCCTGGTTGATACCGACATAAATGCTCAAGTGTTTCATATGATTTCTGTGATAGCCCATGGAACCAGAGTCCCAAACAGACCATCAGAAATGTTTGTGATATCGTTTTAATCGGACTATTACTTGTGGATTTTCTGTTTTTTTTCTGCAGGCTTTGAAATATGCAAGGATGTGGGGTTTATTTCTTTTGTGTGATTATGGGCTGTTGACTTTCTTTCTCCAACAGGTCAGTCTTCTCTTGGGGACTATCATCAGAAAGATCCCATTGCCCAGCTGCGACAACATGCCAGATTCTCGCAAGCCTCCTCATCGCATTGGCGATCCTCGAGTGATGGTTGCAGCTGATACGATGCTTGACGTGGAACAACTGGAGGCCATTGGCAGCCATTTCTTGCAGGTTCTTTTGAAAATGAAGCATAATGGTGCGATTGATAAGACAAGAGCGGGATTCACTGCTCTGTGCAATCGCCTGCTGTGCTCGAATGTTCCAAGGTATGGTGCCATTTCTTGTCTTGTTCTCGTTCATAGTCGAGTGCTGCTTCTTCATTTCTAGAAAAACCCAATACTTTTTACCATATCATGATGCCTAACATCGCAATTTATATCGATGGAAACGATGGAGATAGGGAAACTTTGAGGGCATCAGATATGTGGTTTGAGCACCATCTTCATTGGTGCCTAAACCTAAAGCAAGCATCGCAATGAACAATTCTATTATTTATTCTCTCATATTGTAGTGAATGATTTGTTCTCGCCCTTTAACATGCTTGAAAAACTGAAAAATATGATATTTTCTTTGTGATGTTAACCCACATCTTCTCTATTTTTTAGACTCTGCAGAATGACGGAGTTTTGGATGGATCAACTGATGGAGAGGATCATTGCCAAAGGACAGTCAGTTGATGATTTGCTGAGGAGGAGTGCGGGAATTCCTGCAGCTTTCATGGCCCTTTTCCTTTCAGAACCTGAAGGAGCTCCCAAGAAACTCCTGCCGTGTGCATTAGGGTGGCTCATAGATGTTGCTAAGAAGTCTCTGTGCAGTGAAGCTTGCAACCCCAAGAACATGTTGCTGGGGGATGAATTCCCAGAAGGGTCGAACAATGTTTCGTCACAATCACTGTCTATGGAGAGTGATCTCAGTACGAACATTCCAAAGACACGCGATGAGGGTGTGATCCCCACTGTCCACGCTTTCAATGTCCTCAGGGCTGCTTTCAATGACACCAATCTGTCAGCAGATACCTCAGGTTTCTGCGCTGAAGCCTTAATTATCGCCGTACGATCCTTCTCTTCTCCCTACTGGGAGGTGCGGAACAGTGCTTGTCTTGCCTACACTGCCTTGGTTCGGCGCATGATCGGATTCCTTAACGTGCAAAAGCGGGACTCAGCGAGGCGGGCCTTGACGGGTCTTGAATTTTTTCATAGGTAACTTCCTGTTTGGCCGGGTTTATGCATCTAGTGCTGCTGTTTTTTGCGCCTTTTCTCCTTTGGATATGAACTGCTTCCAAGAATGATTTTAGCCGAAACATGCTGGGTTTTCTCATATGATGCTGGTGGACTCTCTTCTATGATATCTTGCCGAGTCCTTTAAGGTTGCATAGGAAAGCATCTATTGGTTGACCTGAAACAGTGATCATAAGTGAGTGCATGGGTACAAACTCCCGTTGTTCTTCGGTGTTATTTCGTGTACCCTATTAGGCTCTGCATAAATAAGTAAATAAATAAATAAATAAATAAATAAATAAATAAAGGAACCTTCTTTTTTGGATGTTTTCAAAGGGTTAGTAGTGGTGTGTGGGTCGTGTGTTCTTAGCAATCACTCTATTTATGCTCGCATGGACAAATTCTTTTGATTCTTCCTTTATCTGTCGTATTACAGTCCGAATCCACTCCATGTGTTTTAGATATATATGCTCCACTAGCCGCTCCCATTTCTCACATTTTATCTACATCACTATTTCGGTTCATTGTGATTCAAATACGTTTACATTTAGTTATATTACACTCTGCAATTTTTCTTTATTTCATCAAATGGTAAATTTTTCATTTATTTTATGGATACTAAGCTTGAGAATATTCTTACTTATTTCTTTGGTTGACTCTGTGGGGTCGATGGGAGAGTGCTGTAAGTTGACTCGTGCCTTGATGTCAAAGTTTTCAACTCGCAGGCTGTGATTGCATTTGAGAAACCAGTTCTTACCACTTTTGACAGATAGAAGACAAACCAGAGCCAATATATTTTTTTTCATTTTCCTACTTCCCACAATAAAAGCAAAGATTTACAGGACATGAGTGACTTTTCTCATTCATTTCTCAGATTCTGGAGGATCCCATGATTTTATGTTGCTAATAGTCGTCTAAACCTTTTCTTTTTTATATAAAAAAAATACAATTAATCGCAATTTTGTTCTTTTTTATTTCCATCATACTTCAGCTGATCGAGTATCTTCCTTCCAGGTATCCAGCCTTACATTCATTCCTGTTTGATGAGCTGAAGATTGCCACCAGATTTCCTGGTAGCAGCTTCTCAGGGCGCCCAGAGTCTAATGTTGCAAATGCCATTCACCCCAGTCTCTGCCCCATTCTTATTCTTCTGTCAAGGCTGAAGCCCTCTCTCGTTGGCAACGAGGCTGATGATCCGCTGGATCCATTCTTGTTCATGCCCTTCATCAGAAGATGCGCCACCCAGAGTAATCTCCGGGTCCGGGTCCTTGCCTCGCGAGCCTTGACCGGCCTGGTGTCGAATGAGAAGCTGCCCACAGTCTTGAAGGGCGTTGCCCAGTGCCTGCCCTCTGGAGGCAGCGAGGTGGCCAGGAAGGAAGCTGGTCTTCGTGTTTCAGGCTCACTGAACGAGAGCGAGGATGACAAGCCCGCCGCCGCCCCTCTCTGTGTTTCTTTCAACTCAATTCATGGGATACTGATGCAGTTGAACTCTCTTGTCGACGGCAACTGCAGGAACTTGAAGGACGATTCCAAGAAAGATCTGATTATCAGTGACCTGACCTGTGATCTCTGGAAGTGTTCCTGGATGGGTAGCTTCAGATCATGTCCCTGTCCCACGCTCATCAGTTCTTATCTGAGGGTTCTGGGCCATATGTTTGATATAGCAATTGTCTCCAAGGGCAGCAGTGCCCTTATTAGGATCAAAACCCTACTGTTGGAGTTGTCATCGGAGTGCCTGGACGGAGAAAAATCTGGCGGGCTGGCATTCTTCGATCCAACCGTCGTGGAAGTCCGGAAGCAAGCAGCGGCTTCGTTCTTCGGGTGTTTCTTCGCGGGGAATCTGGAAGCTCCCGAAGAACATCTCTCGTCTCCAAAGCCTGCCGTTCCCGGTTCTGATCTGCGTGAGAGGCCCAAGATCAATGGCGCCGCATTCAGATCGAGGGAAGATCTTCAAGGGAGGTCTCCGTTGGGATTGCAAGAAAAGATGAGATTCTGCATCTCTGATCCCTGCTGTGAAGTCCGGCTTGTGACCCTCAAATTGCTCCTCAAGTTCGTCAAGTCTGCTGGCGCATGCACTCGTCTAAGCACCACCACCCACGGCTGGCTGAGGGCAGGGCTGCAGCCCATGCTGATGGAGCTCTTGGCCACTGAGGAGAATCCAAGGTGCATTTACTATATCCTGAGTAACATCTTCTCATGGAACCTGCTCCATTTTGTGGGTGGTTCCAACCCCACCAATCATGGAGATTTGATGCATATCGGTGCAATGGGACGTGACTCGGTGCTCTCGTTCTGGGAGAGACTGGGCGCCCTAATAGCCTCCACCAGTTCCAGTAAAGCCAGGGTGATCCTCATCTGCTGCATGGGTCTGTGCATCAGGAGATTCAGGCTCCTTACAGATTCTGACTCGGAGAAGAGCTCTTCTGGCTTTGCCAGGCCCGGGATTTGGGGAAGATGGGATTCTATTTCTGGGTGCATCGATAAGTTCCTTCTCCTGGTTAAGAAGCACAGCTCGCCGGCTGAGCCCGTGAACCTGAGGAAGGCCGCCGCAGATGGCATTGTCGCATCTGGGTTACTCGAAGAAGCCATCTTGGTTGGTGCCTACACGAAGAGGAACCAGACTCCCGCCGAAGACCTACCCATCTGCGAGATCGACTGGGAGAGTGGCTCTCTCTCTCTCCTCAGGCCATCTGATAGGTTCCATCTCTATGGCACAAGGGTGCTCGAAGCCTGGTTCACATGCATCCAGCTGTTGGAGGACGAAGATATGTGTCTCAGACAGAAACTCGCTGAAGACGTCCAGGGCTGCATCGGTTCCTACACATCCAGGCAAAGCCCTCTCTTGCAGGTGGAGAGGGTGATCGAACTGAGCTTCGACCTCCTATCTTCCATTTTCGGCAACTGGGTTCTGTACCTGGATCACCTTCTGACATGGGTCTTCAGCAGCGGGGATTATGAGGCAGCCCAGAGCGGTAATCTTGTCCGACAGGTGTTCGACAAGGAGATCGACAACCACCACGAGGAGAAGCTCCTGATATGCCAAATCTGCTGCTCTCACTGCGAGAAGCTCCTCAAGAGCCCTTCTTGGGCTGCTGCTGCTGCTGCTGCGGGCTCAGAGTCTCCACTGGGGCGCAAATTATCAGAGTTCTTGGGCGCATGGAGGTCCAGATTTATTCACAGATTGGTCTCCTTCTCCGACGAGTACTTGGAAGGCCAGCAGGGAAGGGGAGGCTGGGTGGGGGGCGTAGGGAACCACAAGGATACCTTCTTGAGGGTCTATGGGGGCCTTCTTGGCCTCTATGCTCTCTTGCAGTCTCCAATGGCGGCTGGCTCTCAGTTTCCAGAAATAGTAAGTGAGGAGTCAAACAAGCTCGGCAAGGCCATCAGCCCGTTCCTCACGAACCCGTTGACTTCCAGGCTCTATTCCCTGGTGGAAATGTCTCTTGAGGGGAGGACCCTGGGAGGAGGACCCAGAGAAGCCCCCGCGGGGGAAGATTTCCACCCATATTTCCTTCTCAGGTGAACATTCCCAGCTGATTCTCTCTGGCCGCTGTGAAGGTGCGCTCAATTTATTGCCAAAATTATAGGGATTTCGTGTAAAATTAGGTTGGGAAAAAATCTCAATCACTACAAAATTTTGACTAAAAAAGTTTGATTTTTTTTACCCATTTTGGGCATCGTTCTCGTTGTTGTGAAAACAGATTAACCCTTTGTTTTCCTGCATTATTATTAGATCACGAAATCTCAATTATTTTAGAATTCTGATGAATAAAAACCTAGATTTCGAGCCACATTTCCCTCTGAAGCAGTACAATCTTCGTGTATTTGGAGTGCCAAGCTTGGAGATGTTTATTTTTTCTATTTCTATCAAATATTTTCTAGGATATGTGATTTTTTCCCCATAATCTTGGAATATTTTCCTCAGTGTTGCCATTTAGAGAGGGATTTTCTTGGTTTTTAGTCATTCTAGGTTACTTTAGTTACAGATAAACTTTTTTCGATATTTACTAATATTCCCTCAAAAGACCAAGTTTTTTTTTTTCTCTCACTTTTTTAGCATCGCTACAATTACCCAACCTACCCATTTTATTCTGCCATTCTCATCCAGGGTGAATTCTATAAGTAATATTAATAAAATAGAGTCATCTTGATTTATTCCTAAACTTTGTAGGGGCTCAAGTAAAAAAATCCTGAAAGCATGTGAAAAATCATGATATTTTTCTTCTATGGATTTATTTATTTATAGGAATTTACAAACCCATGAAAAGTTAGCCTGTGGGGCCCAGCGAATGTGATACCCACTAACATACCCTTTTGCTAAGCAGATGTGTCCACTTAAAAAATGATATTAAATAATTTAAATTAATTTTCGAGTTCCTACTAATAAAAATACTAAAAATGTATTATATTTAAAAATGTGCACATTTTAATTATTTATGGTGGTAACACTTTTTTAGAAAGCATGCTTAATAATGGGGTCAGCCCAACATAGAAGTTAGAAGCCCAACCCACAGGTCCGCTTCTCTTTTTTCTGGACCTGGCCTGGGCGTATACCTTTCCGGCCCATTAACAGTTGCCCGGCAAACCGGCAAAGCACCAGGCCGCAAGACCTGAGAGAGAGAGAGAGAGAGAGAGAGAGACGGGGGGAGGGGAGAGAGAGTAATGAGTATTACACTGCTTTATATGATATCAATAGTATGAGAGATAAAACTGGAATGTTCCTCCAGTCAGCGAGAGAGAGAGAGAGAGAGAGAGAGAGATAGAGAGAGAGAGAGAGAGAGAGAGAGAGAGAGAGGTCACATCACAAGCAGGCCACCGACATGCAGTCGTCCACCTTGATGGCAGCTATTGTTCTGCCTCAACCAGGAGTCACAGCCCCCTACAATCCCCTTGCCAGGAGCTTCGTAGGCTTAGAACTGCTGGAAGCCGAGCCCCTTCCACTGAAGCCGCTGCTGCTACTCCCTGCCCTCGCAGCACTGAACAGAGGAAAACCAGACCAAGTAAGCAAAACTGGAAGTGCCCGCCGAGCACGGCCGCCATTGAAAAAGCCCAGAAAATCTTCAGATTTCTAGCCAACAACGCTCATGGAGTAGCACCTTGGCGGTGGGAAGGTCGTCTTCTGTGAGGCGTTCTTTCTCATGGTGGCGTGAATTCTGGCCTCATGGCTGCTCGCTCATGAGGAAGAAAACCATGAGACATGAATTAGGAAATCATTGGGAAATGATGCCGCATCAGTAAGTCGAAGAACCCTGAGAGCATTCACCTCTTGAGATACTCGAGTTTCGCCTTCTTCATGAGGTTCCCCTTGACGCCGGAGACATTGTAGCCGGGGCCATTGCCTGCGCAAGAACAGGAGATCGATCCGAAGATGGGTTTCTTTCCACATCAAGCGACGAAAGTGGACATGGATCGGGTAATTACCTCCGGAGAACATCCTCTTGTTGCTCGTAGGGGGCTTCTTGTCGACCACTCGGATCTGTCGACTTTGCTTCTCTGATTATAAAATTTACCATGTCATGAGAGGAGGATGAAGCCGATGACAAATAATTATAATAAAAATTATGGTAATAAACTTTGATCCCGAGATTATACAACAAACATGATTCTATTAGTCAGATGATCGATGCAACTAAATCCATCTTCAGCCAGGTTTATGTGACAAATTGAGACGCCCCATGCCACTACTCTTCGGAATATAATGAAGATCAAAGCTGAAGAGATAAAGAACTCCAGAGCATTCTGCCAGCTTGCACGCTATGTTTCTCCAAGAAATCAACTAAGATATGAAGAGCAATCCTAGGGAAATTATTTGCCAAAAACAAGCTTTAAATCAAAGTAGGTAACCACTGAATGCAAGAACTGGCCGATAATCGTCGTCCTAATGGGCCATAACGGAAATCGAAGGATCCCACTTCCTCAGTTTTTCAGATATAAGCAATCTTTGCGTGAAGATCTCCCAGAGCTAATCTCCCAGAGCTGCCTACACAGGGCTTAGACGAAGGGTAAAGTCGCATCTTGATCTCAAAATCACATTTCAGGGAAAGAAAAACTCACTTTTCTCCTCTTCGGCGTATCTTTGTTTCAGCTGCTCCGCTATTTTCTTCCCAGCTTCTTCTCTCTCTCTACACTTTGCCTGCATACACAGCACGAGTTCAGTACTCACCATCCACTGAGGCCGCGGCCTATGAGCTCCAAGCTATGGTAGGAATAACTAAAGGAGGCGACGACATGAATACAGTATAGAATATATGAGGCAAAGTCTTAATCTTATGCGGGGTCTGATACCTCATATAACTTGCTCCACTTGAAGTTGACGTTCTTCTGCTTCATTCTCTTGACGACAATGCTTACGCTGTCGGCTCCGAAAGCTCGTTCATAAAATATCCTCCATAAGTCATCTGTCACGGCACTCAAATCTCTGTCCTGAAACACGGAATCCCAAAGCAAGAATTATCGCCATGGATCGTTTCTAGGCTGGGGCAAGAGAATTCAGACGGTAGAAGGACAGGAAGAGAGGAGGACGAGAAATAGAGCGGAGGGAGAATATTGGCGCATACTTCAGTGGATTTCTCGATGTGCGCCAATTGGTCGACTGTGCAGTGCGGCAGGATTTCCTTCAGCAGGTCTATATCCGTCTCCCCGACATCGCCAATGTACCTGACGTTGTCTATTGCACTCTGGACGCAGAGACTCACTAGAGAAGGCGGCCTCCGTCCACACCCCGGCGTCATCCCTCTCATGGCTGGAAGGATTCGAAGTGTCTCGTTCTGAACTGCTCCCCAAGTTTCTTATCCAGGTGCAGCGATGAACGATCCTTCCGCAGAACTACAAGAATGGAGAAGATCCAGCGCCTCTCCTGGGAGAAACAGGAAAGAAAATAAAATCGGTCGGCAAAGCTGAAACCAGAAACATCAGCCAGCTCTCATCCACCGCACCGAAGATCAACGAAAAGTAAAATTTATTTACCGATAAAGCGCACGATCAAGAAATTTTCAGGAAGAAACAGAGCTGGGAATCCATTCATCCTAAATCAAACCCGAAATCCCACCGATCGGCCGCAGAATCGCCAGAAATCGGAAAGGAAGGAGCGGACGACTAGACGATCAACACTTCGACGGAAGAACTCACTGAACGCCGTCGCCCACCACCGCGATGGAAGCAGACACCTACTTCTCACCTGATCGGACCGAAACCCCAGCTGATCTCATCCACCCCGGAGAAAGAGGAAGAGGAAGAGGAAGAAGAAAGAAGGGGAAGGCACCTACCTGACCCCTTCCTTCCCTTTTTCCCCTTCTTCCCGATTTCCCCGTCTGTTTTAGTTGTGGGGGAGATACACCCGCGATATCGACACGCGGTGTCCTTTACCTCCCGCTCACCGAAACGGACTGAATTCTGGGCCTCAGGCTGGCTCATTCATTTTGGGTCCGTCCAGCGAGCCCAAGCCCATTTTCATTTTAATTAATATAAGTAATAATAAAGCAAAAAATAGCTGCTTCCGTTGCCGGGATTTGAACCCGGGTCGTCTGGGTGAAAGCCAGATATCCTAACCGGACTAGACGACAACGGATGTTTGAGAGATTTGTAATCTATATATATATATTATATAAATAATAATTGACATATCAAAGCACACTCTGCCGCGTAGAGGACAGCCATGGCGACTGAGCTTGAGGAGCTCCTAGGGTTCCTCTCATCGCCCTCCCCGCAGGTGAGCGATGGGGCCATCGTTCCGATGTGCCCTCGCACGTTGGCCACCGCCTGGTATGAATCTAATGCTGCGATTCTTTCTTCTGGCGTTGCAGCTTAGGAAGGCTGCCGTCGACATCGTCAGCGGACTCACCGGCTCCGAGGAGGGCCTCCGGTCGCTTGCCGCCCACGCTGATCTAGCCCTTCCCCCCCTGCTTCGCCTTCTCGATGATGTCGTCGCTGTGGAGGGTGTCTCCAGGGCCGCCGCTGAGGCTCTAGTCAATCTCTCGCAGGACGCCGTCATCTGCGAGAAGCTCGTCTCGCATGGAGCAGTGGGTAATTCCGTGGGTGTTCTCTACAAGCAGCCGCGGGGCGGAGGCCTTGGCATTTCTCCGCTTCTGGTCATGCTACTTGTCAACCTCACCCAGGTTGACTCCGGCGTCAACGCCCTGCTCCAGGCAAGCACTTGGCCTCTTTATATGCAGCTAGTCGTCTGCATGTTTTCTGTGAAAAAAAAGTGAAACTCTCAAAGTTTCTACTGGTTAGAATTAAAACCTTTGTTTTTTAATAAAAAAATGCCCATTATTCTATCTTTGTACGTTCTCCATTCGGCTATTTACCATCAGATTATTCCGGAAAAATCGTTGATAAATCTCTCATCTTCTCTGAAGCATAACCAAACACAAAGTCTAGCAAAGCTCAATCAAATCCACCATAGTGCAGGTTGGAGAAGAGGTGGAAGGATTATATATCTCCAAGCTTGTGAGATCCTTCTGTAGGTCATCGGCTAATGAAACCTCTGGTGAGTTTTCTCATTTGTGAAAATTATTATTATTTTTGGTCATCTTCTTTCCATCAAAATCATTATGACGTATTTCATTTTGACTTCAATTTGCTGAATGTTTCATCTGAGCACCTAATTTTTAAATTTTTTGTTGATTCATAGCGTCTGCAATGGTGGGATGAAACGTATAGATTAAATTTCTTTTGGTTGAATCCTTTTTGGAGGAATGCTGGCGTAGATGGGCTTCATATCAAAGATAAGCTGTTGAAGTCAAAGTTTTGTAATAATAAATTGGGTATAGTTGATATGATGTGCCACTTTTATTATTTAAATAAGAAAATAATTCTGCAAGAGTGACAGGAGGCTGATATGATCTTTCTGGAAGATCAATGGCAACGATGAAAATGTTTTGATTTCTAGTCATTTGGCCAAAATGGGTACATTAATCTTGATTACGCTGTGTTCTTTCTTATATTGCGTCTGTAGGTGATGATCCCTTTGAACATGTGGCATCGATTCTTGTGAACATCTCTAAAATGGAGGCAGGAAGGAGGATCCTTCTTGATCCCAAGAGAGGCCTTTTGAAACAGATTGTACAAAACGTTGATGCAACAAGCTCATTGCGCAAGAAAGGGGTGCGTATACTGGGGAATTATAGGAAAAATCTAGTTTTTTTTTTCTAATCATAATTTTAAATCATAAACCCTCTAGATTTCAAAAGGTGACACATCGGGATCCTTAACTCATGATTGGAAGCGTTATTGAGCTTTAAATATATTTTTCTCTTACAGATATCTGGAACAATTCGCAATTGCTGCTTTGAAGCTGATAGGCAACTTCAGAGCTTGCTTTTGATTTCAGAGTTTCTCTGGCCCGCCCTGCTCCTGCCTGTTGCAGGGAAGAAGGTGATATTACCTAATTTATGACGATCGTGTTGCATGTACGCCCATTATGAGATCGAATATGAGCACCACCTGTTCATCCATGTATAATCATAAATGTATGCTATATGTATAGATGTATAGATGATTATCTTTTATAATATACGTAAATTCTTCATTAATTCTGAAGAAAGCTTGGTTTCTTTAGTGAAACCCCTGGCTATTTCGATAGTCTATGATTCTTGCTAGTTTTTATGATCAACCCTGCATGGAGACACTCACTGTTCATGCTATCTTAATGAGTTTGTGCGAAAATTCGATCTTTCCTTGATAAATTATGGACATATTCGTTGGTGTTCTTTGAGATGTAAGCCCACAGAAACCAGGGTTTAGAAAGGTAATTTAATGGTACTTTCTGGTTAATGTCTGGATCAGATTTATAGCCAGGAAGACACCTCTAAGATGCCTCTCGAGCTCGCAACTCCACTCTCAATTGAGCGAGAAGCTATTGATGACCCAGAAATCCGCATCCAGGCCCTGGAAGCTATTTACCTAATATCGTTACAGGTAATTTATTTTTTTACCTAAATCCATGTCTGCCTGACATCACGTGCTTCACGTCTTTTTTGCTTTCTTTTTTATTTTAATAATTATAGGGGCTGTTCTTGTTTTTGATATTAAAGAGGGGTGTTACTTCTGGGTTTAAAAACTTTGGATTGGTTTTTTCAGTTTATTTTTTTTGTCACGTTTTTTTTTTCTCGCTGTGATTATCATCTTTTTTTTCTATTAATTCATTTTTTCTTCCTGTTATTTTGTTTTTTTTTCTCTCGACTATTTTGCAGGATGCGGGGAGAAAGGCTCTTTGGTCCATCAATGGTCCACGGATTCTGCAAGTTGGATATGAAGGCGAGGAAGACCCTCGAGTGATGGAAGCCTACGAGCAAATTGGCTCTCTGGTAGGACTCTCTTCCTCTCTTCATCCTGTCTAGAGCTGTCCTCGTCTAGATTTTCCTCTCTCTCTCTCTTTGATGTTGAGGGCGAGGCTTATCTGGGCCAGGTTCAGGCATCAAATAGCTCAAAACCTGTTTTCTTGGCTTTTTTTTTCTTTTCTGGGTCAGGCGTGGATTCAACCCTTTTTAAAGATCCTTCTCTATTTATCCTTTTTTTTATCTCGCCAATGATAGAATCATCATCTGAGGCCCTCTTCGATTCATCCCTGATAGGGGTGAATCCTGGAAATCGTCATTAGTTAAATATTTCCTTTCTTTCCTTTGAAATCGCCTTCAGATGATCAATCCTGGATACCGTTTCTCAGATTTTTCCTCTTGTAGTTTCTTGTTCCTTGTGATCATATGATTTCTAGAGCTCTCTCTCATCTTCCTGCAGTTGGTCGGTGGCAGTGGTGAGGTCGCGGACCAGTGAGGCCCAATCCAATCCTCGGAGCTCTTCTCTTGGCCGTCCGGATCTGTTCATGTAAAGGAATACAATTATTTTTCTATTTTTTCTTTTTTTATTTTCTAAATTTCTTTGCGCACTGGCGGCCTTGACGTGGAAACTTTATCCATAATTAAATGAGAACTAAAATCGTGTTTTTATTGTTCTTCTTCTGATTTCTTTTAGGATAATTGATCATAATATTCCTTTCTGAAAAGTGGGTTGCTTTTTTTCTTTTTTCCGGGATATTTCTGGTCCTGGTCGTCAGGAAATAACTAGTTTCTCAGCATGAACTCCGACTAGATACCACTTCTCTGCCGATTACTGATTTCTTGATGCTTGCACTTGTTTTTCTGCTTATATCATTCAACACCAGCAATCTCCACCCTACTTGTGGGGAGAGAGAGAGAGAGAGAGAGAGAGAAGAGAGAATACTCAACCTGGGGGTAAGTTTCTGCAAGTCTTAAACCCCTGTGGGGGAGACCAGCACTCAGGTTTAAATATCATCAGCCTCACAAGAGGGGAGGGAGAGAGAGAGAGAGTAGCGGGTAAGTTTCTGCAAGACTTAAACCGTTGCGCAGGGAGACCAGCACTCCACTGAGGTTTACATATCTTCAGCCTCACAAGAGGAGAGGGAGAGAAAGTAGTCTACATTTCCAGTCCTCCAGAGCCGCAACCGGGTAGAAATACCTTCAATCGTGCTTCAATCTTCATCATCTTCGCCCTCTTCATCCTCCTGTTCTTGGTCATCATCTTCATCTTCATCATCATCGTCATCATCATCATCATCATCATCATCTGTGCCCCTCTCCTGACAAAGAGAATTTACTTTTAGAAACCAGACCGTTTTTTTTTTTCATCTTTCATCCCTATATTTACCAAGAAATCCTACTTTTTGCAGTCAAATAAAATATTTTTTTTCACCATTCGTCATCATCTTCATGGACTTATGAAAAATACCTCAAACTGTAGACCACAAAAATTTCATAAAATGGTTTTCTAAAATTTTCTCTTTCTATAAAATTCTATCCACTGATGTGTGAAACTAATGAAGTCAACGAGCAGGATGGAGGTGATCTATGGAAAATATTGGGATCTTTAGTATAGAGAGAGCGAGAGGGGGGGGGGGAGAGAGAGAGAGAGAGAGAGAGAGAGAGAGAGAGAGAGAGAGAGAGAGAGAGAGAGAGAGAGAGAGAGACCTCATCATCTTCAATCCCATCAAGCTCATCGTCATCAATCTCCTGGGGAAAAAAATGAAAACGTTGAGCGACTGACCCCAGAGTATTATAGTTAATGGCACAAGATTGTGCACCTCATTGGACAACTTACGTTATTGAAGTACTTGAGAGGGTTCGGCCACAAGTCTTCCTTGATGATCTCGGCAACCTGAAATTGAATGAAAGTCAACTCTGTGCTCAAATCGTCGGTCAAACCAAGAAAAGGGTTGGAAAAATTAAGCATCAGTTGACCCAAATCACGGGGAAAAATGAAGAATTGATACCTCATCATGGAGACCATCCGACAGATTTTTATTCTGGGTTTCGGCAAACCAGGTGAAGAAGCTACGTTTTAATGAAGATAAATGATTAATAATACAGAAAATGGCATTAAAATTTTGAACACAAATAATTACTTCTAAACGAGCAGTCAACCATATAAACCCCAATTATTTTCGACCAAATGAATATTCAGCGGTGGATTACATGCAACACACTCTTACTCAAGTGTACCCATCTCTCCGTGTAAAGATAAATGATTAATAATACAGACAATGTAAAGAAAAATAATTACTGTTAATTAGCAGTCAACCATATAAAACCCAATTAATTTTGACCAAATAAATATTCAAATGTTCAACACAAGTACCATTAATGACCATCATAACCTGATGAACAGTGATTATTAGTAATGATGGATTACATACATGCATGTAATCACCATGGTTAAGCATAAATCTTCTGATTGAAAGATAATCCTCCCGAACTAATTATCATGGCCACAGAAATATGTAGATGACTAGAAAAAGTCACTGAAAAAAAATAAAAATGATCATGTGAATAAATACCACTCCCCAGCTTGAATCGACCAGTAATCATAGTAGCAGAATCACAAAACAATACGCATCATTATTTTTCATTTATTTGGGCTAAAATTATGGTCCCCCACCTCTCATCATGGAAACTCCGCTTGCCGTCCTTCATCTTTGGGCCAACGCCATTGGCTAAGCCCTGCCATCATCACAGGAAAACCATCGGCGTTGACTAAATTGACGAGTCAACCACAGCGTGTTCATTCCTCACCTTGCCCTCTTTCCATCTTATCTTGGTGCCCGTTATGTTAGTCGTCCCATCGTCAAAGAAGCTGAAAGCCTTTGTAAGCTTGGTGTCTTCGAAGAAAGGATTCGAGGAGAAGGTCTGAAACATGAAGATCATAAGGAAGGTATTTACCACATTTAGTACTATGCATTGGGGTGGTCATTCATTGGGCGGCGAATAAACTCACAAAGGAAATAGAATAGCCCGACTTCACATCTCTGGAGTCCTCCACATCTAAGGAGGTCAGATGCTTGAAAATCTACACAAATAAAATAAAAAAAATAAAAAAATAAAACAAAATGGAGAGAGAAAGTAAAATGAGCCAGATATCAAGATGGGCTTTGCTTTTACATAATTTCCGATTAAATAAATAAATAAATTTTATTTTTTGGCCAAATTATGCGTGAATTAGGGAATATTTAATGTTCATGGGGATCTCTGGCAGACCTTCTCGTCCTCCTCGTTGAGTAGCTCGCCAAGTGCAGGATGACTCATAAACTGCAAGTTTTTCCGTTGAAAGGAAAGCGGGGTTATTAACTCTAATATCACCATAAGATATATAGAAGAGGAAGAGGAAGAGAAAAATATAACATAAATATGAGTATATATATATATATATATACATATAAAAAATTGATGAATCGGCACAAACCGCAGTCAGCCAGAAATCAGGGATTGTCTGGATGATCTCATTCCGCTTGATGTATACGGGCCTCCTTATCTCGTTGTACTTCTGCTCGACCTCTAAGACCTTGTCACTTGCTTCCTCGTTGACCTAGAAAGGGAATGATCACTGAATGATTTGACAATCTGAATGAATGGCTCGGATCTGATCGTGAACCGATTAAACAATGCAAATGTTAGAAGAATATCAATGCTCACATGTGGCAGAAACCACCTTAAAAAAAGCCTGCTGTTTGAGTAAAAATGGAGCTAATTCGTCAGACAGACAAATCATCCAGACAGATTATTATCGTTAATAGAAGAAATATGGTGCATCAGTTCTTCAAATGGCAGCAGAGAAAGATTAATATAGCTCAAAGACCCTTCACGGAAAAATATATTTCTTCATATGAGATAATGAAATTTATTAACAAATCATGAACTCTGCGACCATCACTCTCTCTCTCTCTCTCTCTCTCTCTCTCTCTCTCTCTCTCTCGCTATATATATATATATATATCGATCCTCTGTTCATAATTCACTGGGCATAAAACCCGTCGATTTTTGCTCCGAGTTGAACCTCTCTCGCAGGAAAGCTGAGGAAATACTTGTACATTCCTATGGACTAAAGCCATGCACCCGTGGGATGTAAGACCATCTTTTGCCATGAAATCATGTAAGAAAGATGACAAAACTCCTCTCTTCTCTGCTCCAGAAGATGGCGAAAAAGCTGCAAGTCATGATGTCACAATGGCGGTATTGCAGATATCGCAAGATTAGAAGAGGCCTACGCGGAAACCCAGCGAAATATCATGGTCGATCTGGTTTCGGGGAAGCGCAGCCGCCGAATATCCCTCGGGAAATGGACGATGGGGGATAACCGAGCCCTCTCGCGAGATAAGAAGGCATCATTTGGGGCAATGGTGGAAGCGCTCCGAATATGATTGAGAATAGGAACCGAGAGAGAGAAGAAAAAAAAGATGAGCCGCTCCCATGGGATCAGTTCCCGGGAACAGAAGAAGGAAAATAAGACAGAGATTGGGATGAGGAGGGGCGCAGCGGCTCACCTTCTCGATCTCATCCTGTACCTCCTGAAGCCTCTCGATGGAGAGAACGAGCTCCCCATCAATGTGGTCATTCTCCTCCGCCACCTTCGACTTCTTCCCCTTGTCCGCCACCATCCTTCCCCCTCCGCTAACCAAATAGGCTAACCCTAATTCCCGCCCCACAGGAGTTAACCAGATGTAACCTTGACGTGAGCGTAGCAGAGTCAGAGCTAGCGGGAGGAGAGACGACAGGGGTTTAGAAGCCTGCACAGAAAACCCTTCGCTTGAAGAAGATAGAAAAACCAGCTTTTTATTGGAAGGAAGAGACAGAGGGGGGGGGGGGGGCGGAGTTTGGCGGGGGATGCAGTATCCGGTCACCTGCAAGGCTTCTCGGTGAGATTACCTCCACAGTTCGAAGAAGATGGCGTCGCCCGTTGCATTGGTGGTGAGACCCACGGGGGCGCCTAAATTGAGTTGAAACCCTAACCCTAGAAAACTGCGTGGCCCTCGATTAGATCAGATCACAGAGTCAACGGAAGACGTCATCATCACGGTCGGTCGCTGACGTCATCCCTGTTCCTGGCGAAACTGGATCAGGCCCATTAATCCAGGTGGCTAATTTATGGGCCTTTCAGACGAGCCCACTAGGAAACCAGGAGATTGTCGAATAGCTCATTATTCCTCAAGACGAACTTTCAGGCCCATTTGTTTGGCCCACTGTGCTGATGTCCAACAGCGAGGCCAAGAGAGAGCCAGGATAGTGGGTCAGGTCGACGACCCACTCTCAGACCCAATTCATTTGGCCCACTAGTAGATATGAATGGGATAATGGGCTCATTTCGTTTGGCCCACTATGCTGACGTCCAGTTTCTTACGTGAAGACAACCCACTCACAGGCCCACTTCACGTGGTCCACTGGTACAAAGAAATGGGATAATTAGCCCAGTTTGTGTGGACTTCACCAGCTACATTGAAATCGATATACGTATTTATAGGTGTACCAAGGTCAAATTAAAGTCAGATCGCGATTTGAAGAGGGTCAACCACTTGGGTGCGCACTAAAGACCCAGTCAAAGGACGACGTAAATCGCGGGCCTGACCCAGTAACGAGTCAACGCATTGCCTTTTCGTGGCGGACTCCTGACCCAGTAACGACGTAAATGGCTGGACGACTTCCTACGCGTCCGTGGAGGAGGAGAGAGAGTTGGAGAGGGAGAGGCGAGAGAGAGACAGAGAGAGAGAGCACTCTTGGCGGGCCAGAGACTCTCCCAGTGGAAAGAAGGAAGGGGAGGCTTCTCGTCGTTCTCGACGGCCAGTTGGGGAGGTGGACGAAGAAGTGAGGGTCTTCACCCTCCAGAGGCGGGAATCATGGGGGATCGGGGATGAGAGAGAAAAGAGAGCGCCGCCGGAGCATATGAAACTCCAAGTTGGCAGAGGGCCAGCGGAGTCTGAGTAGCTACTATGGTATAAACATTCCTATTTCGGTGACTAAACAGGATAATATATAAATAGTCAGCCGACATATGCTCATAATTGATGTTTGACCATCCCGGGTCTGGAGAAGAACTCTGAAAACAGGTTTCTGGCGTGTCGCAATCTCCTCTCATTAGAGAGAGAATGAGGGGAGAGATATATATAGAGAGAGAGAGAGAGAGAGAGAGCTGAATGCGGGAAATCATTCTCTTCTCAGACAGCTGTTTCCGAATTAGAAGACGAAACTGCTTACAAAGTTTAATGGGTTTCTGACAATGCCCCTTTTTGGTGGTGATGTTATCTCATAGTTCAAGTTGTCAGGTGGCTGCTCTAGTTGCCCATCGGGCCGCCCCACCTGGCTTGTCTTCATCGAGCTACCAGTCTGCTCCCACCCTCCCTCTGCCAGATACCCTGCAAGCAGAGTCTCTCCAGGGGCCACGTAGTCTACCCATCTTCCACTTCTTCTTCTTCTTCTTCTTGTGTCCTCCGGTCCCCATACTTTCCTCCTCTTAAACTTCTCCAACTGAGAGTTCTCCTCTCTCGCCCTCAGACTCCGTCTCGTCTCTCCTTCATCCCTTTTCGAGGTATCCCAGTTCACTGTTTCCTCCCTCTTTCTCTCTCTTGGTCACTGCGATCGTCGGTCGCCGGAAGGCTAGAGTAAGTTTCTCCGGGGCTGCCAAGGTCTTGTTAACTGGAAGAGCTCTTCGAGTTGGGGTCTCTTCCTCGTCGGCATCATCCCTCACCAGTAAAGCTTCTCCTTTCTGTGGAGTGCCTCTTACAGCCATGGTTACTCGCCCAGAGGGATCTTCAAGTCGCAGCCTCTATCCCTTCTCTTTCCGCGTCGCCCCCGGAGACGACCGCTTCTCTCTCGTGCTCACGAACGACTTCTCCAGAGTCACCGCGTCGAGGGAGTGGAAGAGGAGGACGGCGGGGGAAGACGAAGAGCTGGAAATTTTCCAGGCCGAGAAGTACTTCAGCGGCGCCATGGACGGCGGCGAAGTCGTGCTTAGCCCTTTCAAGGTGTCCCCGGAGAGGGAGCTCACGTTCTCCCCCGGCCCGGTCACCCCCTCGGCCACGCCTAGCGCATTCTTCGAATCCTGGGGGACTCCGTTAGGGAGCAAGAAGCTCCTCAGGGTCTCCCTCTGGTCTTGCTTCGGAAAGTCTTCCGTCGCCGTCAGTGAGATCGCCGAGGAGAGCGACGGTACCTTTCGGGAGAACGGGTTCCTGTGTAATGAGAAAACCAGTCGGTGGAAAACGGACAAGCCGGGCGGCGCTTTCCGGCACACGACGGCGACCCGCTTTGCCCCACCCTCGGATCTGATAAAAAGGAAGACGACGAGGACATTTAAACTGGCCATGGCGGACCCAGAAGTGGACGTATTCAGCGAGTCCAGCTCGGACCTGTTCGAGCTCGAGACCGTCTCCACAAGCACCCACGCATTCGGCGGCACCGGCGGCGCGCCGAGTGAGGCAAGCATCGAGTGGAGCGTTGTCACGGCGAAAGCCTCCGACTTCTCGTCGGCGCCGGAAGGCCAAAGGAGGTTCTCTACGGTGGCGACGAGACGACGGCACCAGCGGAGCGGTGGGCTGGGTTGCAGGGGAAGGAAGGCGATCAACGTGGCGGCGAATGTCCATAGGACGCCGGCCAAGTCCGACCCAGAAGAGTGGAGATGGCGGGGGAGGGTGGGGGCGCTGGCATCTTCGATGGATCTCAGGCAGGCCAGACGGGCCACCTCGTAGCAGCCCGCCGGATCTCGGCGCCAATCCCTTCGCTTTCCCGGCGGTGAGCCCACTAGTCTGCTGTTGAGCTGCGACGTCCAAGAGGGACAAACCTTTTGTCGCCGTTAATCTTGTCGTGAGTCCAAGCAATTCTCCAAGGTGTTTTGTCGTTCGTTCATGTAAGCTGTCCAGCAAGAAAATAAAGTGGCATGCGATCGTTTTCTTCATATAAATTAAACTCAATAATTGAACACTATGATATGAATTAAGCTCGTGGTTCTAGGTGCGGGTTAAGTTTACTTATCACTAGTAACTCGTGGTTGCTATTGGTACGGGGCAACCTATTAAATTATCGGCAAAAGAGACCATATTAAAACACAATCAAATTGCTTATCATTAGGTGTAAAACATTGGATACAAACATGTCAGCTACACTGCAGGATTTTTTACATGAATGAATGAAAAACCTCAACATCATGCACATGGCTTGATGGAGATGGTCTTTAAAATAATATGTTTGAAATAACATGGCGCATGTTGCTAACTGGGTTAATATTTTCCTTATAAGAGTAAGAGGAACCCCACGATCATAGGAAATAATTTTTCTATCATTAATCTATTTCCTATCACTCTTGACATGATAGTTTACTCTTCACCCACTCCATAAAGTCTAGAGGTTGTTTATTATGGTCTCTTATCAACATGTACTAATGGGGAACTATCATAATTCATGCCACACAAATTTAATAATTGATTTTTCTTCATGTCAAATAGAGTAGATTTTTGGGTTTTACATTGTGCTAAAACCTGAGTATTTATTTTGACGGGGGAAAAGATATGTAAGCTTGTAATGAGAGGCTGTTCTATTTGAAAACATATTTAAAACTTTTATGTTAGCGAGAAGCATATGCTTACAGTCATCTATTGTGTGTTATTGGAAACATTAACCAGAATTTGAAGTTATAGGAAGCAAGCGACAACAGGTAAAAGAAAACTATTCACATCTATACTATTCACGCCTGAGTTGTAAAGTATTGATATGTAGGTTATTGTCCAGACCTGTATAGATACAATAAGTTGTTTCTACATGTTAACACCTGCATGAAAACCATATAACCATTTATTCAAGGGTTTTGATTATAATTATTGACATTGTGACAAATAGTAAACTTCGACATTGTGGATGGACACCAATGACAACGGGAAGAAACTAGCTGCAATAATTGCAATGTTAAAAGACAAAAAAGTGAAAATAAAGTCAACTCTAAAGACATCACAACCAAAAGTAATTAGGTGCCAACAATTTTAAAGAATTCTACAATCAAGTATTGACTTGACTTTCTGGAATGGCTAGTTTTCATGAAATGAAAATGAAAAATTTGAAGAAGTAGCTGCTTTCTAGCATTTAGAGGAGCAACTTTTGCGACATGTACATGTGTTTCTCAAGATACAAAACACAATTTTTATGGGTCTTCGTCATGCTTCCAAAAAATCAATACCCGTTTGCATGTGGCGCTAGGTTCAAGTTAACAAATTTCCAAGATATTTAATAGTAGTTTGATTTATTTACTCCACTGTCCAAGGACCGGGTGTCTTAGGGTCACGGTTGACCTCACCTTGACTCTTACCTCAAACTGACCTTGGCCACCTTTGTCGGCACTGAGTAGTCTTTTCATAAGTGGAAGGCTTCACCAATGGATAACGTGCTCTCTCTCATAGAATACATAAGGAAGAGGAGTCCCTACTTCACCGTTTCATGCGCGAATCCCCTTTACATTTCTAGTGGAAAACCCTCTCAAAACTTTCCTATTTGTGGTCCTAACAGGCCATGATCTTTGCTTCCCGAGAATCCCACCACACCCTTGTTCTCTTTGCTCCATAGTGAGAGAACGTAGGTTGGGCAATTCAACCCACAATAGTCATCCGGTCTGCTGCGCTAGCTCACTCGATCCGACACCAGATCAGGCTCTCCATTGTGAACCGTCGTCTGATCGACTAGTCCGCCACGAACTGTTGTCTTCTCTGCCTGGTATTGATATGGACCTACTTCACAAGCCTATATCTTAAAAACTTTTGGTGTAACACCAGATCTTTGCTTTCTGTTAAATTCTTAGTGAGATACACACGAAATCACATGCTTCAGCAAGTTTAATTAGATTTAATAGCTGTTATTAGTTTGGGATTTGACCTAAAAATGATCTTCTACGTTCATGATTGTAGGAGACAAACCAGAGGAATATCTCTCATATCTTCTAAATTCATAGCTCCAGGAGTCCAAATTACAGTACAACCTCTCCTCTTCTAGATTCATAGCTATGGAAGGCCGAACTGGAGTATGACTTCTCCTCTCTTCAAAATTCATGGCTCTTGGGGCAAACAAGATTAGTGTTTCATTTTCTCTAAATTAAGACTCTAGATTAACACAAGTACAACATGACTCAAAACTATGATGCATAATATATTACTTGTTTTGGTGTTTACTCTTATATATTCAAGACTTATCATTGAGAATGTGCCATTAGCCCTCGATTTCCTGATGCTTTCACCATTGATCTTCATATTTTGGTGTTCCTTTAATATTCACTAGTATTTGTTTTATTGCTAAGGTTTTCTAATGGCTGTTTAGTAGTGCAAAACTAGTCTTTTCATGGAGACAATGTGTCCTAATAGTAACTTCTATTTATTTAGTTTTGTGTCAATATGTCCTAATAGTAACTTCTATTTTTTTAGTTTTGTGTCACAGGCAATAGTCGCCTTTCCCTACTTGTGTGTTGCCAGATGTGTTGAGACCCAAATTTGAGTAGAGAAAAAATATGAAGATAATATTATACTTCGATGATCAATAGATTCTATAAATCATTTTAGAGCATATGTAATCATGTTAGGCATTTTAAAGGATCACAAAAACAATCAATTTAGCTTGTATGGTAAAATAATTTTGTAACCCTTGGTTTTGAGTATACTAATTTAGGCTTTCTTTAATAAAAATCATTCAGATCATCAAAATATTTAATTGCAGTCATAATATTTACTATTATTTCATTTCTTATGTTCATCATCAAATCATAATGGGCTCCTAAAGCCAACACTACGAAATACTTCCAACCAACAATGTTGTATAATATGATTTTTCCTGAAAATTTATGTAATTGGTTTCAATCCTTAAAGGTTCATATAATGAAGTTATCAAATGGGCTTCATTCCGTGTTTTTTTCACTAATTAGGCCATCTAGTAGTTTTCAATCATTTGTATGAGTTTTAACAAGAGGTGTAGAATTATAATATTTTAACGAAAATTATCTGCATACTAATTGAAATCTAAATAGTTAAATGCGACTTGTTCTTTGAAATTTAATTGCAAGAAATTTATTAAAATTGATGTTTTCTAGTTAACCAATAAACTCAACAAGAGTGATTTTTTATCTAAATTATCCTTCTTATACAAGGTATCCAACACGTTGAAATATTTTTGGCTCGATTTTTTTTTAATGTGAGACAACTCAATTAGGTTTATGTAACCATTTAAAAATACTTCCTTTAGGAATGTAATTTTGGTTTTAAGCATGCTTCACCTTACAACTAAGGACTGAACTCGACTGGGTTGATGGTGGGTCTCCAAAACCGAATGTCATAGATTCAAATTCTTCAAGCGTGACTATGATCTTTGTTATCTTGAATGACCATAAACCAGCTCAAAAAAGTTGAATTGCAACTCAATTTTAACTTGCAGGGAAAGAGGGAACTTGGACATTTTAATCTAATTCCTCTTTTTTTCTCACACGAAATCCATTTATCTGCTGGTTGTACAAGCAATGTCTCGATGTTTCATCATCGGATGGAGCTTCTTCTTTTAGGGCCCATTATCCGTATAATCACTACTAGTCATCGGCGTTCGGTTCTGTCCATCTTTGTCAGACCCAGACAATGAATTTCATTATTTTCTTGGAGAAATTAAATAAATACCGTAGATGTGTGTGCTCGCACAAGGTGAAACGTGAGGCCCAGATTAGAGTGCGAGAGGGCCTTCTGCCGCTGGAGCTCGATTTTCATGTTATTCGTGTTTGTTACGACGTAGGCTCTGACGCGGTGATCGGCGACACCCAAGCATGCATGCACGTGTGAGCCCACGTATACGATAGTTGATAAGGCCCCTTGTCCCGACGACATACTTCCAGGCCCAGCTCTGCTGACCTGGGCCACGCGCTCCAAACTGGAGTTGTAATGGGTTAAGGCCCACTGGCTAGATGCAGCAGATGGGCATACATTTTTATAAATTATGCATAGTCACGTATACATACATACATACATATATATCGAGAGAGAGAGAGAGAGAGAGAGAGAGAGAGAAAGAGAGAGAGAGAGAGAGAGAAAGAGAGAGAGAGAGAGAGAGGTATATAAATGTAATATGTATAATATGCATATCCACATTTATGTGTACATATACTAACATCAAGTTGGATAGAGTCTTGATTCAGATCAGTATTAGCCATGATTTGAGTTTTAGCTGATATGATCCTAAGTGATCCAGACTGGAGATAGTGATCGCCTAGTCATAAACCAAAAGTTAGGACTTTACCCAACATTAAAAGTGAATACCCCGCAAGCTAAAGTTTATTCAAGGGTCTATAACTGAGATAATGTCATATCGGGTCTGCACCAGAGACCCAGCGAAAGGATAATATAGACAATGGGTCCGACCAATTAATGGAACCGCGAATCACCTTTATAGGCAGGGATAATTATTCAAGCCCTATTTGGACTATGAGAGAGAGAGAGAGAGAGAGAGAGAGAGAGAGAGAGAGAGAGAGAGAGAGAGAGAGAGATTCCCCCAGTGCCTGTCTTGAGAATGGAGTAGACTGTGTACCGGTCGGTTTGATCTCACATGCTGCTCGAGGGAATACAACGATGGGAGATGAGCCTCATCCCGAAAGTAGATAACGAAAAGAACGGGGGAAACTGCAGACGGTCGGCCTTCCTGTCGTTCTTCGCAAACCCATCGATAATTTTATGAAGGACGTCGCTTTTCCGTCTTCTCTTCTGTGGAGGAAGCTCATCAGCCGGCACAGTCATGGGGATTCGACAACACACAGATAAGCGAGCGCCGCCGGGGCATATCAAACTCCAAAATGGGTTCATGAACCATTCGATTCAGCAGTCCGAGCGACTATTCAACAAACATTCTTATATCGGTGGTTTAACAGGACAATTTGAAAGTATTCAGCCGGCAGAGGCTGATAATTCTTGTACCACCATTTTCAGAGAGAGAGAGAGAGAGAGAGAGAGAGAGAGAGAGAGAGAGAGGTGGCGCGCCGACAACCATTTCGAAGAGAAGTGGTATGAGGGTGAAACACGTAGTCATCTGAGAGCTCTATGGATGGGAGTCTTATCCTATGATTATACTAGGCCGTGCCAGGTAGAGTGCGTCTTCTAGCTAGGGGTGTTCCCGAACGAACGGTGGTGACCTGGAGATGACCAGACGAACTGAAGCGTGTCGCTCTGTGTGCCTCTTGAACATAGCCCATGAAAGGCTTCTTACAGGCCCTGCGGTAGGGGCGTTCCACGGAGAACAAGCAAATCTTATCCACCCCAATTAGCGCATAGTGTCACAATCTAGCTTATGAATGTCAGGGGAGGAGGAACGTTGGTCCAAGATTTTTACTTGATGATATTGAATCAATGATTTTATTATTTATCATATATTATTTCAAGTTAGACCAAGCATAGAAATATTAGTCTATAATAATTGGTGAACGGATGCATCAGTCCTATTTTTTGTAAGGACTTGACAAGACATTCTAATAATTCATTTATGTAAATACATAACTTACAAAGTATGAAACTAACAAATGAAATTATCTACGATTTCTGTCCTTAAAAGTAAAAATTGGTGAAAATGTTTTCTTTGCAGTCAATCTGAACAAAATAAGATGGAGAGATTATCCGAGAAATTTATATTTAACGTAAAAGTGTAAGGAAGTTCTATTCCTGGAGAATATTTTTGAATTAAATAACGCAAATCTCTAATATTTTATCTGAGCAGAGGATGCGGGGCATTTTGAAAGTACCATTGTTCCGATAATGCCTAGTTAGCATCGGCCGCCATGCATGAATGAGCATCACGGAGATGACGTAATCTCATCCACCTGGACAGCTTCCAAGCTCCCCTCCCCCTCTCCAAGATTCTACATATAGTCCACGATGTACCAGGAACCGTGCAGGGTATCCTCCTCTCTCCCTGATCCCCATCTTGCCTGTCTGAATCTTCACAGTTGGAGAGTTCTCTCTCACCCTCAGACTCTCTCTCTTATCCCCCATCCCATTTAGAAGAATCCTTGTCCATGTCGTCTCTCTCGCTCTCTGTCCCTCGCTTTGGTCCCTTGGCCTCCCACAGGTTAGGTCCGATTCCTCGGCAGCCAGCGCAGGTCTCGTTAACCAGGAGAGCAGTTCCAGTTGGGGCCTCCTCGTCGGCTTCACTAACCAGTAGAGCTCCTCTCTTCGCAGTGCCATCCAGAGTCACGTCTAATCCGTCCGTGGTATCGTCAAATCATAGGTTCCACTCCACTTTCTTGGGCCCCTTCTCTTCCCACGCCAGGCCCGGAGACGAATGCTTCTCTCTTTCGCTCAAGAGCGACTTCTCCGGCGCCACCGTCTCAAACGGCTGGAAGAGGACGACAGCGTCAGAAGACGAAGAGCTGGATGTTTTCGGCGCGGAGAAGTACTTCAGCGGCGACATGGACAGGGGCGAGGTGTCAGTTAACCCTTGGAAGGTATCGGAGAACGAAGTCATCTCCGCCCGCTGGAATACCCGGTCGACACCGCCTAGTTCGTTTTCCGAATCCAGAGGGCCGTCTTCAAAGAGAAATAAGCTCCTTCGAGCCTTCCGCTTGTCCTGTTACGGAAAGTCTTCGGTCGTGGTCAATCAGGTTGCCGAGGAGAGCGACGACGCTAGTCTAGAGACCACTCCGGTGGGTCCCACCTTGGTCGAGTTCTGGCGTAATGAGGAGACCGGATGGTGGAACACCGACAAGGACGGCGGCGCTCTCAGGCACAAGGACACGGGCAACTTCGCCCTCCCACAAACTCCGATGAATCGAGGAGCCGGCGTAAATCTGAAGACGACGAAGGCTATGCATGGATCGTTGTTCACCAAACGTTTTGGTTTGACAAGGCTTGCCAAGGCGGAACACGAAGTTGACGTCTGTAGCGAGTCCAGTTCGGACTTGTTCGAGCTCGATAACATCTCCACCATCACCCTCGCCTACGGTGTGGCTGGCGGCGCGCCGAGGGAGGCGAGCATCGACCGGAGCGTTGTGACGGCCAAAGCCGCCGAATTCTCATCGGCGCTGGGCGGCTGGTGGCGGTTCTCTGAGTCGGCGAGGAGACGACAGAAACACCAGAGGGACTGTGGGATGCCACTGCTGGGGTGTCGGAGCAGGAAGGCCGTCGACGTCTCCACGAGCGCCCACAGGGTGCTGGTGAAGACCGGTCCAGGCAAGTGGCAATTGCGCAACAGTGCGGTGGCTCAGACATCTCCGGCGGATCTCAGGCAGAGTCCGGCGAAGCATCTCCTCGCGGGGCGCAGGATTTCGGCACCGGTCCCTACACTTTCCCTATGGTGAACCCACCAAGTTACCTTTGATCTGCAACGTTCCGAGAGATCTACGTCTCAGTTCACCTTCGTCTTAAGTCCTAGCAATTCCGCAAGGAGTGTCGCTCGTTCGTGTATGCAGTGCACCAAGAAAACAAACTGGTTATGCATTCGTTTTGCTTCAAGCAAATTAAATGATACTTAATAATCAAATGCGCAGGAATATGATGACGATGATGTTTTCCATTCAATTAAACTAAAACTATGCTTTTAAGTGCGGCTCCACTCATTACTAGTTAATTTCTGTGAATATGCTAAAATATCTAATATTATATCACGAATTTCTGGTTTTAGCTCACCATAAATCAGCATAATAATATAATCTTTGCACTTGAGTTACTCCACAAAAACACAAACTCTTTCTGTTTAGCCCTAGGTCGAATTAAATATATTTTACATCTACTATTAAACAAAAAGATAAAAATGTTTTCATCGACTATTTCTCCTCTCACCTTCCATTAGCCTCCTGGTCTAGCAGTAGGGTTGACATGTGGCAGCCAATGCTGCAGGTTGACAACAAGATGAGTATAATTATACCTCCATGATGCAGGTTACCACATTAGGGCACGAGAATGCCCAAAATTTGTGACCTAAGTGGCCTAAAAATGTAAAAAATGGGACGACAAATATTTGAGGACCTAAAACAACTTAAGAGCACAATATTCAAGTTGTTTGGCCCAAAGCTGAGAAGATTAAATGCCAGATTCGGAGGATAGTAACTGGTTTTCTTTTTTCAGGAGAATTGCAACAAATATTGGCCTACTAGCGTATGGCCATTGTAATTTCAAGGGAGAAAATCAATAAAAGGGGGTGTTTCGCCTAAATTAAGCTAATGAGAAATCAGGGCGGACTTAATTTGTAATTTTCTCCCCCTTTTCCTTTCGCCTGCAAAGGAAACCAACTGAAGATCAATGAGATAGAGCTTCTTCATCCACGACAAATCTCACACTGCTCATCTCCTCAACATCTGCCACCTCATACGCCTTTCACAGAGGTGATATCATCCCCATATCTTGAAGGCGTCGATAATCTTAATATCATAGAGTATTATTTTATTATTTTCTTTAATATATTGAGGCCCCTTTGATGTGGTTGCAACTGGATATAAAAGTTGTTACAGATCCTTTAAATTTAGTGGGATAGGTAAACTTGCCGAGTCTAGGCTATAAAGGTTGTTTGATATCCTTGAAATATAGTGGGGTGATATATAATCACAAATTCTATATTGTAAGGTAGTTTCGGATCCCAATTTAACCAACTATGTTCATAAATAGTGAATGATGGAATACCAGGAAGGAATCTTTGGAAAGTGGACGTAGGTCTCGAATGGCTGAACCACTTTAAACCATTGTGCTTTGTTGAAAGTAAAGTATTCACTTCTTGAGTCAAAGAAAAAAATTAATCTCGAGAGACTCTATAGGACATCTTATCATATCAAAGTTTAATCCGAATTAGAAGAATGTTACCAATGATAAAGAATTATACAAGTTAAGTGAAGAATAAATTGACATCCCTGCCCTCTATTTCTGTGCCTAGTCGTATAAGGACCAACATGTATATTGTTAAATCTGATGTCATCTATTTCACTCAAAGAATGTGTCAATACACGCATGCAGCTTTGGCCATGGCAGCATTTTGAACACTAGGTTCTGCTGATGGTTTCTATCTTGCTGCCTGAAAAAAAGATGCCTTCCCCATTGGACAATTCCTCTAAAAATGGAAAGATTCTACCATTAAGCTCGTCCGGTATGGTTCTAGTGTCAACTGGACGATTAAATCATACAATATTTACCTGCTCGATTCTCCGGGGGAGAGTTTCCTTTGTTGTTGTAGAATTAGCAAGTTGTAATGTTCTCTCCTTCATATTTGAATCCAGAGGATGATGGCGCATGGCTTGTCAAGGCAAACCATACTTGGCAAGAATCTGCTGTTTGTTTACCAAACTTGGCAAGGTCTGGACCTATGGTGTGTGGTGGTGTATTACCCCCCAAGCACATACATCTTTCTTTATAGAAAGTGTATACATAAACACAATCCTGATAATTGTGTGTTAGGGACTGTGGGCATGGCCTGTGAACCGGTCCTGGCCAATTTGGTCGAGTTTCAACCTATGTGGGCTGGCTTTGCAATTTAAACCATAGCCAATAATTCTGTTTGACTTGTGCAACTCCCTGCCCACGTGATCTACGACTTGAGAATGTTTGACCCATCTTACTCAATGCACCATTTACTCAGTTTGTCATTTCTCATGTTCCTTACTCACTGACAAATAATTCCACCTAGATTTTCTTAAACCTTTTTTATTTTTTTCTTGAATGGCTTTGACCAAATTTCAAGAGATTAGACCCTTTCAGGATGCATGTCGACAAAATGATCACACCTGGACAATGACAAAGATTGAGTAATGATAATAGTCTATTTATAATGTATAATTTGGAGTTTATGCATATAGTTTGATTATATTTAGCAAGCATCATGCCTTGAATTCAATGTAATACACTATTATTATTAATTGATTAACTTCCTTGTAAGAGGCATGATTTATGCTTGAAGTGTGATTTACAAACTTAGCCCATGATACATTTGAAAATGTGTTTTCGTATGGATTATTGGTTGGAAACTGGTTTTAAACATATATAAAGTAGTGAACAAGATTTGAATATCGTTGGAAATTTATTTAGATGATATTTCAGAATTTTAGAAGGATGAAAGAGGAGGATCTTATTCGTCATGGACTTATGTCTAATTTGCATTAATGAGAGGGATGTTTGATGTTTCGAAAGGTGTCACTTTGTCTTACGTGAGATTAAGTGATGAAAAGCCTTTTAAAATATCTCATGTGGGTCCCATGTGAGCACCTTTCTAATTAATAACAATCAATTGCAAAAAATGATGATAGAGAACGTGTTGTACCAAATCAAAGTGGCTGAAGGAAGAAAGGATGGCTAGCTTAATCTTCAAGAGTCATAACTCATCTCAACCATTTGTGAGGCTTTGCAAGAGGAGACCGGTAGAGGGGAGAAGGGAAACCCGTCAGCACAACTGCTCATATATAATCTTTTCCAGCGTAAAATTAGGGCAATCCATTTACGACGAACGAGACACCAGGAAACAAGTGTAGAACTCTCTTAAATCTTTTCTTGAGTGGAATGTTCTTGTTTGAATTTATTTTAGAAGGTTGTTGAGCCTCTGAAGAAAGTCTGCTGCCTCCCTTCCTCTTCGCTCCAAAGACAAATATTTGGAGTTCATTTTCTACGTTCTTCACCCCACGAAATATAGTGGAATTCTCATTTTCTTTCTCATCCTTCAACGAAGTATGGTTGGGGAACGATCATCCGTGGATTCCGGCGCATCTTGATGACTACCATCGTGCGACATATAGCTTGGTCAAGCTTGTGGTAGGTGAAGGCTACCACAACACAGAAGAGAGCGATCCTTTTAAGGGTTAGTAGTTCTCATTTTACTCGTGGGTATAGGTGCAGCATCTCCACGAGTAAGTTAAGATTTATTTCGCCAGTTACTTTTATTCTCCTCCAATCATCACGTCTAAACATTCATCTTTCTCAATTACGTTCGTTGCAATCATAAATTCAAATTTCTAACTATCCTTGTGATTGACCCGGATATTACCAATATTTCATCTAGTAAGTTTTATGACAATTTCCGGTTTATAAATTTTAAACTTGATCTGCCTAGACTTTAATTACAATGATAGTTTTTGAAGATCAAGTAACTAGTACCTAGCTGATCTACAACTAATAACAAGCCTACATGAATCTTCTGCATGGAAGCATCGACCCATCTAAGCTTCACATCTATGGGCTCTTCTTTTTCGTCTCCCGAGAGCAGGGCATGTAGGTTCTCATTATCCTGTCCCATGAGACGAAGAAGGGCTGGGAGAAGTTGAATTTGCTGCCGTAGTGTTGGTGGTGGATGTCATGGTATGCGCTGTTATTCATGAAAAGGGCTTGCAAGGGGTTCCAGGGGAGGCGCATTCCGCAGTGGTCGTCCACCGTCTTCATGGTAAAGGAGAAGAAGAAGGTCCCGGCGAGCGGCGACATGCCGGAGACGAGAAAAGAGAGGGCGCCGCCGATGGTGTCCATGAAGAAGCCTTCGACGGGATGGTTATACATGGCCCCTACCGCGTAGGGTACGATGATAGCGTGGTGCTTGGAGTGGAAGTGCTTATAGAGGAACCGGTTAATGTGCATAAGCCGGTGGACGAAGTACTGCCAGGTGTCCATGACAACCATGGCGATGAGAAGCTGCGTCATGACAGTGGGGAAGGTGCGCTTTGGTTTCTCCGCGGCGGTATTGTCTTCCTTCGCGAGCTGCAACACAGCGTATGCAGGGGTTCTTCAAAAGGAAAGAACTGAGTGAAATATTTCATCTACTAGATCGTCTACAAATCTAGATGATCTGCTGAGGACTCACCCGAAGTGTAGCGAGTGCAACGACGGACTGGATTGCCTGCTGAAGAAGGACGCCAATAACGACGTCCTTCCTCCTAACCAAGTCCTTGGCTTCCTGTTCCTTCCTCGTGTGCAGCCTGTATCTCTCAGAGGATTCTGCAAGAGTGTATAAACCAGCGTAAAGCCAGTACACAACGATGGGGACAAAAGTCGCTTGAAGTTCCTCTGCAGCAAAGGCGTCCATTGCTCCACCCACTGAGAGATAGAGGGAGAGAGAGACAGAGATCTATGCTACCTTGTAATGAGTCGCCGATTTGAGGAGGCCTTACTCGCTTTTATAAGCACGGACACAGGGCATGGTGATTATCATAAACGTTGGCTCGAGTCAGTAGCCTTGAAGCTTCGGGCACCATGCACTGCAGATCATTAATCATGCGGATCTGGTTCAGACCCTCCCAAGTGCCGTGTCAAACCAAGTGGTCTATGAGAATAATAGCCAAATATCAGAGAACATTATCTCTTAATTAGCTTCTGATAAGCATTAGACGAGTATCCTGTCGGGCTTCCTTATTAATGAAAAAGGATTTGAGAAAACGTGCATAGAAATGATACTAGACTGTGAAATATGTTTCATCTCTTGAAATCCTACAATCCAAATAGCTGAGAATAATAATTATTGCTCGAACTATGCATCTCCAAATTATCTCAGAGAAACCATGATATTATGACCTTTACACCTTCGAATATAGCTATCAAACTAGTTTATATCTAGGGAAATTGTGGCTGGGCTGGACAACATTAGTTGCAAATAGCACAATAGGTCAAGTAGAGTTTAGCTTCCACAATATTCGTCAAATTAGCGATTTATTAGATGCACATTTTTAAATGGGGTAGGTAGGTCTTCCTAATTGCCTCACCCATAATTATCTCGTCAACGTTGGCCAAGTCTAAATCTTGTAGACAATAGGAGCTAACCAACTTTAATGACCTTAATTGTAAGGTAATCAATAGGATTAAATGAGAAGCTCCTTTGTAAGAAACTTTAAATCTGTGAAACTTATAGTGAACGTGGTGCCCAAGAGCAAAGATGATACCTACAATGGATTCAGCCGAAATTACAATATCTGAATTCCTCATGTTCTTATTTACCAATGTCATAGACGCATAAGTTGATCTCAATGTCCTTGACTCATTAAATGTTTTCATAATTTTAATCTAGTCAATATAAATATATATATATACATATATCTATTTATTCATGTCTAATTTTTCATCAATTTAAATCTTATCCATCAAGCCTACTGAAAAGTCCATAGGGATGTTTCTAGCTAGGAAGAAATGGGTCAACAACCTTTGGCGCCATCTTTGGGCTGCATAAAGGGCTATATTCCTCAAATATGTCGTGGTTGGGCTTTAAATTTGATCAATGAGCGCCAGAAAGCATCTCCCTGAGGAGCCTAAACATAGTTCAACGTTTGATATGCTAATCATTATCCGCCATACAATGAACAATTTTTTTATACCCTGATCTGAAAAGAGATGGAGCGCATCCACCTCTATTAGATTTGAGTTGCACTAGTAATTGTGATTGATCTTTAACATCTTTGACTGATCTATCACCTTCCCATTTACACGTCTTCCACCCAAGAACTAGCTTATGACCTGGTCAGGATAATGCTTTTGATCTTCGTCCAACTTCTTGGGTCAGAGGAAAATTAAGAAGGCGAATAATGGAAGCCGACCTTGCTTGGGCCAGCTTACCGAAAGTTCATTACAGGTACATTCTTTTGAGGGTGTTTTTTTCAACGTAATTGGGGAAAAGTATCAGTACTGCTGAGCGTTGAGCTGACATTATAATTCAAAATTAATCAAATTCAGATTTCTTTTTTTAAGATGTTGGTTTATCGAAATTTTCAAAAAAAATGAAATTACACTAATTATCAAAAGGAAATGGTGAAAAAAATTTACTAAAGAGAGATTCATTGTTACACCGGTCGCCCAAGAGAAACAAGTTACCTAACTTTATTTTGTTATAATTGATGATTTCAGCAAACCAAGATTTTCAATGCATCCATCTACAAATTAAAGACATTTGACAGATCATTTTCAGGAGTTGGGGGGCAGCGGAACGACTTGAGGGAAGGTAGTCAAATGACTGATCCGACGAATTGATGTTGCTGACCGAAGGAAGTTGAACTTCTACCTATTTTGGTCAGAGATCTGTAGACCACGGCAATAAGTGCTCCGAACACTTCAGAACGAAGAGCACTACTTGAAGTCAACCTTCCATAAAGGCTACATGGATAACAATCGACGTGCTTAGTGTCAGCAAGAAAGAGAGAGAGAGAGGGAGAGAGAGAGAGAGAGAGAGAGAGAGAGAGGCAGAAAGGGAGCAGGGGGGGTGGCGTGGGGGGAGAGCTAACTCTGGGTAATCGGAAATAAATCCAAGTCTTTGACGGTGGGGACGGCATTCAAGGCATAGACCGAGACATGCACCGGAAATACAGATAGTATGGCTTCACAACATGATGACGGGAATGGCACCAGGAGAAAAAATAGAAGCCACACCACAGTACTGCCGACGTGTTAATCTTCGACTTAGAAATCTTTAGCCATAGTACTTGCAGGGAACGAGGCTTCCATTAGAACGGTAGAGGTAATTCGATGTTCCCGGGTAATATCTTAAATTTGTAATTACGAATTCGATCATCTTCTATCCTCCCAGGTTAATAATGTCTTCAATGAATGGAGTCGTTCCCAAGTGCGCATCATTGCATGCTCTCTCTCTCTGTCCTTCTCTCCTTTTCTCTCTCCTTTTTTCCTTCTCCCTCTCTCTTTCCATTCACTGCTGTTCAATGCTCTTCATGCCCACGGCGACGACGTGGCTAATGAGGACGTAAAAAGGGTCCATTCAGAGGTACACCCTAACATGCATGGCACCCTCTAATCAATGAGTTGGTGAAGTTATAACGTCATAGGGTCACTCTCACAAGCGTTCATCTACTTCGCTCTGTTTAATCTTAAATCCAGGATATAATGAGGTGTAATTATGAAGGGTCACCTCTGCATTAAACATGATATGGAGCCTCGGTGTTGAAGAGTTAGGTCACCAAATGAACCGTTAATCAAATGTGTATTTAATTGGACGATTTAACGTCTCTTCAATGCGTGATTACTCCAACATTATGGAGTCAGCTAATCTATGGAGTCGGAGCCAATGAGTGATATTGTCATCGATTGAGCAACTTCCTTGATATTCAAGAGATTATTCGTTGTTCTTGGTGAGCTCGAACAACCTTCCAAACATTATAATGTGATCTTTTTGATTAACGGGAACTAATTGAGCATCATCAACGTAACCTCGCCAAGACAAAAGCCGCTAAGAGCTATACAACACGTAGAAACCCCCCTGCTGAGGCATTCTTTATGCTACACAGACTGAAAGTGCAGTTTTTTTCCGTGAAGAAAGTCACAGTTCTTGTAATGTGTCTCATGTAACGTAACCTGGACATAGAACTATTATGTCCGGGTTAAACGAAAAGAGAAAATTGAAAGGAAGGAGTGCCTAATCTTGTTTCCCCATTACAATGCCGTAACCCCCGTCAGCTCTCTTCTCGAGCCTGTAGGGCATGTAAGTCCCGAAGATCTGATCCCATATGACGAAGAAGGACTGGGCGTGATTGTACTTGGCGCCGGCGAGCTGGTGGTGGACGTCGTGGTAGGCGGCGTTGTTTCGGAAGATGATGTGAATAGGATTCCACGGAATGTAGAGGCCGCAGTGGTCGTCGACGGCTTTGAGAACGGAGAGGGAGTAAAAGACGATGGCGGCACGTTGGGACATGCCGGAGATAGCATAGGCGAGCCCCGCTGACATTGACTCGATGATCAGGCCGTCGAGCGGGTGGTTAAACTGTGCGCCGTAGGCGTATGGGACGACCAGCAGGTGATGGCGGGCATGAAGAGTACGGTAGAGGAACTTGTTCTGGTGCATCAGTCGGTGCATCAGAAATTGCCATGTGTCGAACACCACCATGGCGACGAAGAACTGCCTCGCCACCGTAATGTACGACTGGTTGGCGCTCTTTTCAGCATCGGAAGTGTCGACTACCTGCATAACCGATCACTATAAGAATCCGACGGACCTTAAAGTCAAGTATCCAGAAAGACTTTTGTCGGATGAAGGACCGTGCCCGGCATAAGATGAGAGAGGCTGTTGCCTGGACGGCCTGCTGGAGGATGACACCTCTGATCACTTGGCCTCTGGAGACCAGGTTCTTGGAGTTCTCTTCCTCTCGTGGGTGCAGCCGGTACTTCTCGACGCTGCTCAGGATTGTATAGATTCCCGAGGCCACCCAGTACACGACGATGGGGACAAACGTCACCAACGCATCCTCCCGTGTGATGAGCACCATGATCTCCCGCCCGAATGACACAACCACTCTAGAGAGAGGGTAGATAAAGGAAGAGAGGGTGGTGCGTCGTGTTCTTGTTTTGAACGGAAGGACTTAGGATGTGCTTAAATACACAGAAGGTGGAGTGGCTATGAGCCAATTCTGGTTGAGTTCGCACAGGGATGAATCACGATTGCCAAATAGTTAGAAGAATTTGTCATCTATCGGAAAAGGAGACAGACGAGCCAGGAGAGAGAGAGAGAGAGAGAGAGAGAGAGAGAGAGAGAGAGAGAGGGTAGTTGGGGGGATGGGAAGTGGTAGGTCATGGTTCATGTCCAGGAAGTCAGGCATCAACGGTGTCCCCACCTCTCTTCCAGAAGATAGTGTGATTTGACCCAGTCAACTGACTTGACAGATTCAAGTTTTCTTGCTCGGAACATTTACTCTGATGGCCAACAGCGATGACCGCTACTGTTACGTTCTCGTCACTTGCATCATAGTTTCCTCTGCAGTATATAATTTATCATTTCAGGATTATCGACGACACCGACACTCCGCTTAGATCCCTTCCACGACGGCGGCAGCTCTGGCGCCGGAACCAGCAGCGACCGATGGCCCCGTCGGTGGTCGTTGCAACTCTGGCAACAAGACCAACGGCGCAAAGGGAGACTGGACTCTGGCCACCAGTTCCGGGGCGGAATCGAATCTCTTCTCCAGATCATGGACGATCCACCGATCAACGTACCCACCCCATGGTGATGCAATTGCATTTTTAGGTGACCAATTCGCGGCTGTTCGCTTATCTAATGAGTGATATTGCAAGAGGCTGTGGTTCGGCGCGTAGCCGTGGACCACCGTTCGCTCCGTGAAGGACTCGTCAGCGGTGTGAGGACCATCTCTGGACATGTATGAGCTGTAAGACACTCAAGCGGAGCCCGCTTAATTAACGAGGTGTCCAACTGACCGGGCTCAAGGCATCTGGTTCATGGTGACTTACACTAACCGGGAAGACCGAGATGGAGAAATATTCCGCTGAGTCAACGTTTGAGAAACGGGGTAAGGTCCACGTGGGTCGTCTTCCAAGTAGTTGGTTTAGTGCGCCCACCTTGTGCGCCCACACTTCTCGTTGGTCCGACCCTCGATCCAACTAACCCAATCAATGCTATAGGATGGCGTTGACGTGTTAAAAATGATTTTACATTGAAAGCATCCAAAATATTTTACATAAAAATACTATATAATGTTTTATACGTATAAAACTTTACTTTGGTTATTATGAATTAATATTATTTTGGAACGTACCACCATGGCGCATGTCAGTTTCCTGAGTCTTGCCTAGTGTTGCCCAAGCATAACATTTTTTATGTGGTGTATTTGCAATCTATGTCTCGAGACAAAAGTTGCAAAATCTTGATCAGACGCATATATAACGAAAAATTGATAGATAGATAGTGAGAGAGAGAGAGAGAGAAGTGAACTGGGTCTCGTTGGAGATGTTCATCTTTGGGAAAAACTAGATCAGTGGCTCACTCGGCTTATTGAATAAGGTGATTGAAGTGGCGATCAAGCTAAAGCATGATGTATCATCAGAAATAGATAAATTTAAATTGAGCAGTAAATCAGTAAATTGTCTCCTCGGGTGCTAAGGGTGTAATTGTGTTGTTGTCTCATGCAGATTACACGTGCGAAGCATATTTTGATTTGGTCCCTCATTACGGTTCACTGAAATTTTACAGACCACTTGGCTGCCTGCACTGAGATAGAGAATATGCATGTCCATATGATTTCCTGTTTGTCCGACAGGGAGGTGTAGAACACTTCAATCTCAAAGAACAAAAAGAACTTTGAAAGAAATCAGATTGTAGATAGATAAAGGATGGAGAGATAATGATACATTCCATGCGGAGATCTTGAAAGCCCCGAGTGCTCTGCTCTTTGACATCTTATTTTCGATCGTGGGCTTCGAAATAAAGCCTAGACACAGAAACATAGCACACACAGAATAACTCAAACCAAGCCACGCTGAGCTGACAGTTGGTCCAGTTAAGAAATTCGAAATTCATTGGCTCGTGTCACGCACTTGCCTTTGATAACTCATAGTTTATTCATTTTATTTTCCCCTTTTGCTCTCTCTCTCTCTCTCTCTCTCCCCCTCAATCTCCCCTCTCTCCCTCTCTCCCTCTGATGTAGGATGAATATGACTGATGCGGATGGAATGGGTAGGGAGCACAACGGGTAAATAACAAGTCACAAAACTCTCACACAATCGGATCTGAACCTTTGAAAATCGACTGTGATGAGGTGAGAAGACCGTTCCGTTCCTCGATCGAGGGTGAGAGGATTGTCTCAGGTCACTGTGATAAAACAAAGCTCCACGTTTCAAAATCTTAGTCAGCCTCCAAACAAGGAAATTACAGCTCACTCGGCTGGTCTCGAGCCTACATAGTTGAATCCGATGGTGGTAGAAACACATATGAGGAAAGATGGGATGAAAGCAAAACATACGATCATCAGATAGGGTTGAGAGGGGACCTTCGGCGTTTGCACGCCACAATGTTGATGTCGAGGGTAGAGGAGAGGAAGACGAGCCCATTGTGGATCCAGCTACATGGTTAGTTAGTGGGGGAGAGGGGGGGGGGGAGGCTAAAGGGGGGAAGCCGACCCCTTGTGGGGTTCGAGGCAGCACCTTGAAACCTAAATCCGATATTGCGTGGAGCAGGGTGTGTAGGGTGTGCGCGGTCGGCATGCAAGGCAGAAGGCTGGTGTGCAATGCGAGTTGCCGTGGCGCGTCTGCCAGGCACAGGATGCACGAGCGCTTGGGCAAGAGGCACAGGACGCATGAGTGCCCGCGAGAGGCTCATATACGGCACATTGCTAATGCTCCGAGGGATGTTGATTGGCACATTGTCGGGCACATGAATGCTGGCAGAGAGACCCCCCGGTGATAACAAAGAGGGTTCACAAGGTAGGGGGGGACCCATGCGACGGCGGCGGTCACACGGATCCCTTAGGACATGTTCTCTCATATAAGAAAACTCTTATAAAGATCAAAGCTGCCGTTCAATAGAAACCTTAGGCCTATTTATAGGCCTCAAGAGGAGAGAGAGGATTACAACCTAAAGTAAATAAAAGAAAATTAAATATGGATAAATCCTAGAAGTTCGGATCTGGAGCTCGGTTCTGCCGGCGGCGATGTGGAGTGGCCTTGATAGTTTGCGGGGTCTCCGGAGGAGGTGATGTGGAGTCCAATGACGTTGTGGTCATTGATGGTGGGGCTAGGGTCCACGCCCCACCAATTCCCCTAGGGTTGGCAAAACTCAACTCCGTCAAGTGGGGTTGAGAAAACTCTAGTGGTACCAACAAATCAGGTTGCATGTTTCTCAAGTCCGCTTTCATGATCCATGAGTCATCTAAAGAAGATTGTCCCTGCCGATGAAAAAGAAATTTGTGCTCCACGCCACTCTCAGTGATGGTGATAATCTCATCTAATATTTCTTTGATGTGTTCATGCCTATCGAGAGAGGGGATGGGAGGAGTAGATGAGGCAAACTCACTATCCGGCAAAGCCATATGTAAGGGCGGGCTATCAACGTTGGGTGGAGCTTTATATGAAATCGAATCCAGGACGTTGAAGGTGGAGCTTATCCCCCACGTGAAGGGTATACTAACAACATAAGCATTTTCCTCAACTCGTTTGAGGATCGAAAATAGTCCAGTGCTATGGGCATGAAGTTTAGTAACACTCCTAGAAGGAAATCTCTCTGGCCTGATTCTCACGAGCATAAAGTCCCCTTCTTCAAAAGCAGGAAAACGATAGTGTGAATTGACGACTTGTTTATAGGATGTGTTATTACTCGTGATGAGGCGATGTATTTCCTCATGCAAAGTCTAAATATGTTTTTCAAATGATTCAGCATCATCTAAGATCCTAACATACTTAAACATAAGGAGGTCAGTAGGCTTTCGTAGAGGATAACCATACACAATTTCAAAAAGACTCTTGCCAGTGGTATGTATGGTTGACAAAGACATTATAGGCAAGCTCTGCATGTAGAATTTTCAAGTCCCAGGATTTCAAGTGATCTCCTACCAAAGACCGTGAAAAGTTTCTTAAACTATGATTGATGACTTTGGTTTGATCGTCGATTTGGGGATGAAAGATAGTGGAAAAGTTTTCCAAAAGTGTTTTCCAAAAGTAGCTAGTAAAACGGACATCTCTACCAGACACAATACTCTTTGGGAGACCACGGTTATAAAAAATAGATGTCCTTAAAATATTATTATCAGTAGCTGGCTGGGTAAGAGTACATCGGACTATGATTACATGAATAGGAGGAGCACTATGGAAGAGAGGAGGAAAAACAGAGATTCAGATGATACCCACTAATCCATGATGGGATCCTCAAGCTAGTAATCTTCCTCCTCAATAGTCAGATCAGTAGTATAAGGCTCAAGTTGAAAATCATTATGTCTAATATGTAGCACTCTAGATGCGCATTGGTTAGCTCGATGTCTGCGTCTATGGCACTTGAAGCAAGACACTCTCAATGGATTAGTCGGAGGGAGTGTGGCCTGAGTAGGTGCTCGAGTAATGAAATCAAGAGATGGTGACAGAGTAGAAGAAGGCAAAGGCAGCTGTGGAGTAGAAGGAGCAAGGATCCAAGCGTGGAGTAGGAATAGAATTAGATTTACCTACACTCGTCTGGGAGCTCATCGGTTGGCTAGGGTAGGAAGAGTAAGAGCGACCACCTTGGATAGGGCGGGGGTAGTATAAATTTTTTGACATAATTCAAGATCTTCTACGATTTGGTATGCAAATTCAAGAGTAGTAGCTTTCCTCATTAATAACTCAATTTTGAGGTAGGGATTAAGGTCAATCATAAACTGAGAAATGATGACATACGGATTCTCCACAATTTTACTTCTCATATAAAATTCCTCAAACTACGTGATATAGTCAATCACCAGAAAACTTCTATACTTTAAAACATGCCATTGATCAATGAGATTGTCTAAGTAGGCTAAATATACATATTTCTCATGAAGTTTATCCTTCATTTGGGCCCAAGTTTTTATAGGATTCTCTCGTCGATTCTGAATAGAAAACTCAACATTTTCCCAAAAGATCTTCACCTGTCCTCTTAATTTCATCTTTGTAAATCTAACCTTCGTAAGCTCAGGTATGCCATATCATTTAAAATAACTATTTAGTTTAGATTCCTAATCAAGATAGTCCTTAGGATCTTTAGAGCCCTCATAATACGGAGCATTGACTCGAATACTCTTTTGAATTTCATTCTAATGGTTATCAATATCGGGCGGATGTCGATCACAATCATTATGCCGATCGTAGGGATCATAGGGAGCAGGTGGACGTTTATCATGACCATTAGGGCTAATTATAATGATTGTAAGGGTCAAGATGATGACAAGCACAATTGGAGAATCAGGTAGCAGGAGGGGTAGGATTGGGAGAAAATGGAGCAGGGGGTGGCTCATTAGGCATAGGAGAATGACAGGAGGGTTGACTAGAACTTGGACAGGAGGGGGTGAACGACGTGGATTTCCTCGGACTTACAATTCGAGTCGGCGAGTGCGTTCATGCACCACCTTGATAGAACTAATCAAATGAGTATCCATATTAGTGACACGAGTACTCATATCACAGATGACATCTAAGACGTGATTCATCTCACTACGTGATAGTGGTGGTGGTGGTGAGATCTAAGTAGGGAGAGGATCCTCACGGGAATGGTTAGGATGATCATCCATGATGACGCATTTACCAAACCTAAGATGCATATGAGATGATGAATGAGTGCAACTAGCTAATGGAAGGGGTGAGGACACAGATTAAGCTCTGATATCAAATTTGATGTAAGATGAATATGACTGACATAGATGGGTAGGGAACACAACGAGTAAATAACAAGCCACAAAACTTGCACACGATTGGATCTGAACCTTTGAAAATTGACTATGATGAGGTGAAAAGACTGTTCCATTCCTCGATCGAGGGTGGGAGGACTGTCTCAAGTCACCATGATAAAACAAAGCTCCACATTTCAAAATCTTAGTTGGCCTCCAAACAAGGAAATTGTATCTCACTCGGCTGGTCTCAAGCCCACACAGATGAATCTAATGGCGGTAGAAACACATATGAAGAAAGACGGGATAAAATCAAAACACACGATCACCAGAGAAGGTTGAGGGGGGACCTTCAGCGTTTGCAGACTGCAATGTTGACGTCGAGGGTAGAGCGGAGGAGGACGAGCCCATCGTGGATCCAACTACGCGGTTAGTTGGTGGGAGGGGGGGAGGGCATAAGGGGGGAAGCCGCCCCCTTGCGGGGTTCAAGGCAACACCTTGAAACCTAAATCCAATATTGGGTAGAGCAGGGTGCACAGGGTGTGCGTGGTCGATGTGCAGGGCGGAAGGCTGGTATGCAGGGCACGAGTGCTTGGGCAGGAGGCACAGGATGCGTGAGCACCCGCAGGAGGCTCGTACGCGGCACGGTGCTGGCGCTCGGGCACACAAGCACTGACAAAGAGACCGCCGGTGACGACAAAGAGGGTTGACCACAGGGTAGGGTGGGACCCACATGACGACAGCAGCTACAGGCAGCGGCAGTCACACGGATCCCTTAAGACACGATCTCTTGTATAAGAAAACTCTTATAAAGATCAAAACCGTTGTTTAATAGAAACCTTAGGTCTTTTTATAGGCCTCGGGAAGAGAGAGAGGATTACAACCTAAATTAAATAAAAGAAAATTAAATATGGGTAAATCCTAATAGTAATGGAAGTTCGGATCCGGAGCTCGCGTCTACCGGCGGCGATGTGGAGTGGTCTTGATAGTTTGCGGGGTCTCCGGAGGAGGTGACGTGGAGTCCAATGACGTAGGGGACAACCAGTGAGTCACGAGCTCAGGGTCATGAGAAAAATAATCACTAATGCCACGTCGCTTGCTCTAGTCCTTCCTCTTCTCCAGAGTGTAGGGCATGTAGGTCCCCATTATTCTATCCCACGCGACGAAGAAGGGCTGGGAGAAGTTGCACTTGCTGCCGTAGAGTTGGTGGTGGATATCATGGTAGGCACTGTTGTTGCCGAATAGCGCATGGAGGGGGTTCCCGGGGAGCCACAAGCCGCAGTGGTCGTCGACGGTCTTGATGGTAGCAGAGGAGAAGAAGAAGATGCCGTCCCGGGCAGACATGCCGGAGGCGAGGAAGGAGAGGGCGCCGCCTACGGTGTCGAGGATCAGGCCCTCCAGGGGGTGGTTATAGAGGGCTCCAAACGAGTACGGAACGACGAGGGTATGGTGCTTTGAGTGGACATGCTTGTAGAGGAACTTGTTGACGTGCACGTACCTGTGCATGAAGTATTGCCACGTGTCGAGGACGCCCATAGCCACGACCCATTGACCCACTGCTCCAATGACGGAGGGTTGGGCCCTCTTGGTGGCCTGGCCATCGTTTCTCACAAACTGCACAACCATGGTAGAATTCAATTGCCAAGGGAGCCCTACGCATGACGCCAAGATGCATAGCGCTTCTTATTGATAATTTCCGATGTGTTGGACCGTCCAGCCAAGGCCCCAGAACCATGGTCGTTCCCGGGTTTCATGGGTCTGACAGGAAGCCTTTTCAGATTCTTCTACGTGGTCTGACCTGGGGGTTTATACTACACACATGGAACATGTTGTCCATGACAAGGAGCTTGCCATTTCTGCATATGAGTCTGGAAATATAGTACTGCTTCGGATCAATTTCCAATGTTGGATCCCAAATTCGAACGAACATGGGAAGAATGAACCTTGAAAAGGGGCAGAGGCATAGAGGAGGGCTTCAAAACTGAACTCTGAAATGAATGAGGTAAACCATTGGGGTATTATCTCTCAAGCACAGAGAACCATTCAAAAGGACGAGTAGCTCCTAAAAATGGCTCATTTCCGGACGCCTATAATTAAATGAAATGATAGCGTATCAAAGCTCAGGCTAAGTCTAGAGTCTGGCCCGATTCTCCTTATTTATTCAAGCTTAGCATGACTAGATATGTCCGACCGTTTCTATCAGATCTGGGCTGCAGGGAGGATCTGATCCAAGTACCTAAAGCCACTTTCCCTCCCCACGTGGCGGTCATATGATCATCATCAGGGCATCCATCTCTCCTGCTCTCCCCCCTCTCTCTTAGGTGAGGTCCATTATTGATGGTCGGATTGGATAGAGAGGGGCTTCATAAGTTTATTTCTCGGATTTCTCCTGACGGCTACTCTGGGTTCGTACCTTGTAAAATAATAATTCGTAGGTCGGACCCAAGCATCGTTTCTAGGAAATTGACTTGGATCTAATCGTCGAGTTCAGATATAATATCACTTTTTTGATGCGTTTCTCCAGATGGAAACCAATCCGGTGAGAGATATTCAATGAATCTTCCAGATCGTCGGACGGATTCAACACGGTGGAGAGAAGTCGCCATTGAAGCGAGGGTTTCTAGGAAGGAGGCCAGGACCCACATGGGAAGGGAGGGTGCCATTATGAGTTGGAAGGTGGCATCGTAGACGTGAAGCCAGCCTGGTGGGTGGTGTCCTCACATGCATAACGGAAAAGGGGAGGCTATGAGATTTGAGCCTTCTTTGGACGAAAGCTCGTTTTCAAGTGGAAGGGGAGGAAGATTCTGTGATGGTTGGTTTAACCGATATGGGATTATTCTACCAGAAACAGGGGATACTTACCGTGAATAATCCGAGGGCTACGACGACCTGGAAAGCCTGCTGGATGAGAACTCCTTTGACGACTGTGGCTCTGGAGACGATGTTCTTAGCTTCGTCTCCTCTGGGGTGCAACCGGTACTTATCAAGAGAAAGACTCCCCAGAAGAACGTACAAGGCTGAGTAGGTCCAGTAGACTGCGATCGGGAGGAGCGCACCCAGTGTCTCTTCCGACCGCGCGAGCTCCATTTTGGGCTTGTTTGAAAGAGATTGTTGACGTCAAGCCTGTGAAAGTAGGTCACAATATCTGATAATGTAGATCGCATGAAAGCAGCTAATAATCTCATTCAGGAGTGGTTTTGATCTAGAGCAGAATGGACAGAAGAAGGGAAGCATGTCGCAGGGGAAGATATTAAAGGAGAGCCAACCGAGATTAGACAAAACTAGACGATCCCGAAATTCTGAACCATACTCAGGATACGATTTGGGAAGGTAGACAGGAGAAGCGATCAGAGAGACGCTGTTGGGTTTCATCTCAGGCAGCGGCATTCTAACCTGGAAACGTTAGGACAATCTGCAGCAATCTCTTTCCTCTCTTCTTCTTCTTCTTCTCAAACCTTGACTGTTATTGGCTTGGGAGAACTCTCTTCTGGAGAAGACAACAATGGAGCAGTGGATAGTTCTGTTCTTTCTTACAAATGAGAAGTGTATGATGGTTGTTGGGTTGGGGACTGCCGCCGGAGTTGAAGTCAGCTCGCCGTTTATGTGGTCTCCTTCACCGTCCCTCCTCTGCTTCCATCAAGCACTTGGGGACAGAAGGGTGTTGAGGGTGTGTTTAATTGGAATTTGGAACGTTGTCCCTGCTCTCACTTTCGCCAGTCATATCTCTAGGAAATTTGGAAGTAAAAAGTAACGCAGAAGGAAAATTGCAAGATACCCCCTCCAGATTCTCTCCCTCCCTCTCCCCTCTCTCTCTCTCTCTCTCTCTCTCTCTCTCTCTCTCTCTCTCTCTCTCTCTCTCTCGCTCGCTCGCTCTCTAAAACGTAAGCATCCAGGAGACATGTGAGGCGCAGATCCAAGACATGCCTTCGCACCTAAGAGTTGAGCGTGGCCTTTTCTCGAGACATCCGATTGTTTTCACAGCTTTCCACGTCTCAAATATTCTTAAAAGAGAAGAAATCAGCCTTCTTAACAACGAAAAGTATGATCTCTTCATTGTATTAATTAATCAAACCTGTTATATAGTAATTTAGAGGGCATATCTTCCTTTAAAGGAGTGTTCACACTCTGGGCAAACTAGCTTTGCTTGCTTTTATCTGACCTTCAAAATCAGAATCATGTGAAGGATAGGGTTTTAGCTGAAGAAAAACAACTATTTTCATGCCATGCTCCAATTCAATTATCATATTTGTCTTTCTTTTTCCCACAAAAATTAGTTATGTTGAAGGCCGTGTTAGCTCACACTTGGTGCTTCCTTGTGATATCGTGCTTACTACTAAAACACCATGACCTCATGTCTTGATGAGATGCCCATTGTCAGCTTAACCATGTATCACGTGATCTTTATAAGATCATGTGGGAACGGTGGATATTGTTGCTAATGGGCCATATTTCAGCTTAAATTATAATACTGAAAATATTGCCCTTGTTTACGATTAATGTTTACTACAATTTAGATGGTTTACAACAATTTCCTATTAATTGGACAAAGCATAATATCATATTAGTCCTTATGTTAAGAAAGGAAAGTAAGCCCTAAACTTGGTCAATAGGATTTCATTTCCTTCTAGAAATATGAATCATAGTGTAACAGAAATTATAATCACGTGTGAGATACGCGATAAACTGTTTTGTGATGAAGCCCTAAACTTACAATATTTTGTGGTTTTTCTCCATTCATGTTTTTGGCATAATTTTTTTGTGTGCTGAGGTTTGATTTTTTTCTTTCTTTCTCATGTGATTTTTACTATTTACTCTATCAATGAGATTGCTAATATTCATAAAGTTTTGCCATTTTTCTTTCATTCATAATATGAAGTCTATTAGTGACTGTGTGACATTAATTTCATTTCTAACCTCATGAAATCATGGCATAATGACTATTTCAGAATGTCTAAAATGGAGGCCATTTGAAACTATAAATTTTGAAGCCCATTTGTGAGTATGTTACCGAATACCATTTCATAACTTTCTGAGATGCTACTCATTTAACAAGCTGATGTCACTTGGCTCATAATCAACATCATGAGAAACGTGTCACTGGAGATCTTAAGGGGAAAACCTAACCGGAGTACTGATCAGAGTCCATTTATGAATTCTAAGTGTTCTTGAGAATAAGAGAAAAGCTTTGAAGTTATCTGATGAAACCCATTTTCAAATCCATCACTTAAAGCCCATTTCATCACTGAAGTTTTCAGTTTTTCATACAACTAAATTAAAATGTTAGGTTAATAAGGCACAATAGCATCAGCCTTTGTAGCACATCTTAATTTCGAACAGGTTATTAGGTTTGAGGACATATTATCAGAACCACGCAACCACACACTGAACTTAGGATCCCTACAACATTCGAGATTCAGGGCCCCTTTTATTAGACCCTAATCATGGCATCTATCTTTTCCAGCCAGGTCCTTTGGCTTGTTCTCTTTCTTATAGGATCAACCTATGGATCTTAGGTTTTCACAATGTCATGGAATTGGGCCATTCATATGCTTCCCGACCATGGAACTCAAATCGGGACACATGACGGAGCTTCACGCCCATTCCTATGGGGTCATGGCATAGAACTCAGGCTTCCTAAATCCTGCGAGGTTTCCTTGGTAAATAAGGGCCCAATGATGGAGCTTGGTTTCTCAGTGTATCATAATGTGAACCAACTTTAATTGAGTAAAAGGAAATGAACCGAGTTTCAATCAAAAGAGCATCATTTTCACCATCAGAAATGTGTTCTTTATTAGGTCCGATCTACTTAACGTTTGAGTCATCATGACTTGGAATGTAAGCGACCATCCATTGATCCATGCACAAGGAGAAGTGGGACATGTGACTTGAAAGCGAGTATCAAGAAGACTCCAGAAGTAAATATTGAAACCAATTGGTCTCGACTCTGACATAGTAAGATATTATCATCTCAATTCCAAAAATACTGATTTTGATTATTTCGACTCAATTCAACTAGGATTTGTGATGCCGGAGGAGGGTCCAATCTGGACATAGTAGGCCTGACAGGTGACTCGAGCTCAGCCCAGGCAGAATTGAGCCCAAAATTCCCCCACAGATCCCGACGCCGACAGACTCACCAAGACTTCCTTTGGTGTTAGCGGGCTTTCTTAGTAGGCTCCGTTTTTACTTATTTATTCTGACTATTTCACATATGAGGCTTATATAAGGCATGTCCTTGTCCCTTAGAGAAGAAATTTTGATTTGGAGGAGTTTCCTACGTTGGCTCCGCCGAGTTAGGAGTTAGTCGAGAAGACCCCGACGCCCCAGTTGGGTTTTTGATACCAAATTGGTTGAACCCCCGGTTTCGGAACAGTGGATGAAATGTGGTTTTTGACGCTTGGGAGACGCACTAGAGAATAAAATGATAAATAAGAGAGGGAGAAAAGATGATTGCGTAATGTAGATGACGAAACAATGAGGACACAATCGAACAAAGGCTCTAATGATCTAAGCCTCTCCTAAGGAGAAGAGAAAAGGCAGAGAATGGACTATGAATCGTGGACTCGGGGGAGCTCCAAGGATAGTAGCGAGAGAGAGAGAGAGAGAGAGAGAGAGAGAGAGGGATAACATTGGTGCTTCTTGTGGCTCAACACTCTGAATACTTCTTCCTTTCCCTCCCCCTTCTAAAGACCCCCTTCTTCTTAATATAGCATTCCATCCATGATCTTCTTTGGTACACATTTGAATGTGCGATGAGTAGAGATGGCTGTCGTGGTGCCCCACGTATCAGTGATGCCGTGGAAATACTAGTTGTGGTCCCTAGAGGAACGGTTCTCATGGGAGGAGGATTGTGTACTTGGGGTTCCATCAGTTGGTCACCCCATTGTCGAGGGCCCCGTTGCTCCCGGTCGGAGCCTTATCTCGTCAGTTTTCATCTCATCCCTGATTTTCACCATCTAGCTGTCGTCTGGTGCCCTAACGGCCATCCGTCCACCTTCCATTTTCATCCACCGCTGCCCATCCATCACTCGCCCATTGTCACCATCCGTTGCCACTGCCCGCCTGCATTGTCACCATCCATCACCTATCCTTCGCCCATCGCCGTCATCGGCGCCGCCGTCTGCTGCCACCATCTCTGCCTATTCCACTGCCGCTGCTGCCTTCCCTTTCGCTGCCTGCACAGCCCATTCATCCACCCCTTTCCTCCCACTGATTAGGGTCTAAAGGCCACCAGTTCGTAAACCGCAGGCCTGAACCACCGCACCGTTGGCCAACCAACCAACCAGCTTGACTACCTACTCCGAACCCACCCGTGTCTTGCTCTCAACCGTCTTGAAACCTCGGCTCGCACCAGCTCGTCACACTGGTCAGAATCTTGCAGGATCACCTTGTCCGTGCCAGCCCACTCCTTCTGGTTCGTGCCAGTCCACGCGATCAACCTGTTCAGCCCGGTCAATAGTCAACCAACATGGTGAATGATCAGTGGTGACGACTAGATCAATCGTCAATGGTCAACCCTCGACAATCAAAGTCTGTGTGACTTCTTTGCACGATTGATTTTCCTACATCTTATGCCTAGTATTCTCTACTCTTTGAATATATTCTTCGTGTGATTATCGTCATAGATCACTTTTTTTACATAGGGTGATTATACCTTATAGGATAATCATGTTTTCAGATAGAGTGATTATACCCCATACTAAGCAAGATTTATTATATAGATTTTGAGCAAATTACCCGTAGCAGTTCACCTAAATCGCACTATCCTAGTTTCTCATTTCTAATCTTGGATGATTTTTCAGCTTATTCTGGATCTCTCCTTCTTGAATTTTCGACATTGGTTGTGATTTCTATGATGTTTATCATATCCCTCCCATGTCTTCCTTATCATCAATTTTTCATTGGTTGGGACTCAACCTGAGAGAGAACATTAAGAAAAAGAAAATAGAACTCCGTTTCAAGAAGATATGAGTACAGAAAGGTCTAGTAAAGGTGTCCTTTTACCAAGATGAGACATTCCTGATACAAGAAGGCGGTGAAAAATTAAAAGAGCGACACCGAATATATGACAATCTGATAGATCCTACAACGATTGTCGAATCCAAATGTATGAATACGAACTCATTTAGTTCATTCAGAACAAAACTCCTGTCTAACTTGTTTATTTTCTGGCCTTCTTAGTCTTCCCCTTGTACTCTTCTATAGTCTTGTACCAGGAGGAGAGGTAGCACAGGCCGGCAAAGCGCATCAGTCCCCCCCCGAAGACCTCGAGGAAGGCCATCAAGAAAGACCTTTGAGGAGAGAAGCCAGCCGTCGCCAATGCCAACATCAGCCCCTGGGAATTCACGCAGACATTGAAGTCCGCTGCTCTGATGCCTTTGATGGCCAGCGTTGCGACCTCCTCGGCGGTCTGCATGGCGGAGGTCCCCGAGATCAGGTTGGTGAGCTCCGGCCGAGTAGTTCTATCTGCAAGACACGAAAATGGTCAGAATGTCTCAAAAGCAAATCTCAGATTTAGCCCACAGCAGGATTCATGGTGAGCATATCACAGCAGGGTAAATCAGCGAGGCTCTCCTCACTGATACATTGAGACCATGGCTGAAATCTGTGCAATTATACCTTTATTTCCGGTGGCAGTGTCGGTGTCGCCCGGCAGGATTAAGGACAGATGGATGTTCTCCCCGTGCAGCTCCATCTGTAATGCCTCCGCCAGCCCACGAACGGCGTAGTTGGTCGCGCAGTAAACCGCGTAGCCGTAGATTCCCGTCTGTGAATAAAGAGCTCGCAGTTGGTAAAGCCACTCACCGGAAACTCTTAGGAAGAAGACGAAAGGGGAAACGACAGAGGGGGGGAGCTGAAGAATCAGGGGTCACCTGTCCGCCCATTGAGGTCGTGAAGGAGATTGAGCGTGGTAAGCCGTCCTCGACGGAGGCCTTCTTCATGCGGGGCAGAGCGGCCTTGAGCAGGTATAGTGTGCCCATGATATTGACATCCACCTGGAATCTGATCTCCTCCATTGTCGTATCCTCGAATTCCTTCCCTATCCCTACCCCCAGGTTGGACACCAGCAGGTCGATGGTCCCCGCCGCCGCGATGGCCTTGTTGACGGCCGCCTCGTCTCTGATGTCGGCGCTGTAGATGGCCACCTCGGCGCCGGTGGTCCGGCGGATTTCCTCGCGGGCCGCCTCGAGCTTGGACGCGTCGCGGGCGAGGATGGACACGCGGGCACCATCGATGGCGGCCTGGCGGGCTATGGCGAAGCCGATGCCGGTGGAGCCCCCAGAGATGAACATATGGCGGTCCTTGATGGGAATATTGACGGGGCGTGGGCGGATGATGAAGAACAAGGTGGCGAGGAGGAAGGCCGGCGGGAGGAGGGCCGCGGCAAGGAGAAGGGTGGTGGCCATGATCGGTGCTTGAGAGATGACGATGAATGGGTACTGAGTATTGTTCTGAACCAAAGAGAAGTTATATGGCGCTCGTGGAGTGAACCAGGATGAAAAGCCATGAATGGTCCTCAGCGGCCGGCGTAGAATTGAACGTGAGTTTCTTTCGGTCCCGTCCCTTTTCGCACGGAATACGCCGGTCAAGATTGGCTGGGTGAGAAGTCGGCTTTTAGGTCGTCGTGATCAAAACTTTGCTAATCAATATTGACCACTATGCAAATCTGACAGAGGTACCTAACCTCCGATCTAAGCTATAGTTTTCTCTTCCCGAATTTTTATGCTTATGCCCCCAAGGCAAAATGGTCTTTGCCTCGCCAGCGTATGTACCAATATCGGAAGCTAGTGTCTCCGTTGCCCTGTTGCCTTCTCCCTATCCAGGCATGGGCAACCTTGGAGCTCCCTGACGGAGCGGAGCCCTCGTGCTGGTTCGTTCTGAATCAAATTTTGGGTCTAAAATACGAAGAGATCTGGCCACGCTCAAGAATGTCCTGAACCCGGTGGGGGCAGGCCCGTTGATGGCCCTGCAGATCTCTGCTGCGTGCATGCGTCACGCTGGCCGGGTTGTGGCTACTTTGTCTTGGGCATTGAATAATGGAGAGTATGGGTTAACCTTTTTCTAGAAGTGTCTTCGTGAGCCTATCGGTCCAGAGCGGGGTAAATGTTGATCGGTTCAGTCTTCAGCCCGGTGGCCACGAACCTTCGTCCGGGAACGATTCCCGGACGCAGCACAATTCGGCCCGCGACTGAGAGAGACCGCGCTCTGTCCTTGTAATTTTCGACGGATAAAGATATTTATTGATGATTATAAATATATTCTGTTGTTGAGTATTTAAAAAAAAACGTCTCACCTGCTTTATTTTCAATAAAATTTGATTGCCGTTAATTTCTATTTTTAAATTTTAAAGATGGTTGATATTATAGTGAAATAAACAAAAAATATTGAATATTTTCGTATTTTGTAATATACCATCAAATCTTGTACGGACCATGCTTCATGGATCCGCTTTGTTCAGGCCCAATCATCCCAAAAATGGCTCATTAATTAAAAATATCCCTTTCCAGCTAAAGATAGATCAGCACTTTCCTCTTTCCTAATTATTTATTGCAAGACATGCCTGAGAGAAGAAGCCCACTTGGTAAAGCATCCTAATCATTGGCGAGACCTGCCAATGTGGACAGATAGATCAGCACTTTAATATTGTAAGATAATTTACTAAATAAATAAAATGCTTAAATTTGGAAAGAAGAGGATTTCTCAATAATCTTGTCGCCGGGTGGTAGAGAAACACGGGTTGAAATTGGAACCCGCTTGTGAATATTTGACCTGATGTTGACCATTGACTGGGTTCTTAACCGTTGACTAGCTGAACTAGATGAATGGGCGGCGTCTGACTCGAACCAGGCAGTCCAAATGGTTCGGACTGGGAAACGGGTTGGCCCGGCCGAGGGCTCTAGCCGGTTTGGGCAGGATAGATGTGGGCAGTCTGGCGAAGCTGAACTAGACTGGTTCGATCCAGCGGTTCGTGATAGCATGAGCCGGGGCTTTAAACCCTAACCAACAGGGGACAGGGCGAGCGGGTCGTGCGGGCGGCGAAAGTGAAGGCAAAATGGCGGCGGAGTAGGCGGAACCGACGGGGGCGGCAGCAGCGACGGGGCAGAAGGTTGCAGCGGGCGGTGGAGGCAAAGGCTGGGAGGTGGCAGCGGCGGCGGATGGTGATGGCAGCCGGCGGCGGATACTGGCGGCGGACGATGGCTGAAGACAGCGACTGTGTGATAGGCGGCAACAGTGGAGGATGAAGTGGTGGACGGATAAAGGCAGCAGCGGGCGGCGGTGGCGATTTACCGGGGTTCAGGTCGCGACGCAGTTCATTTAGTACGTTCATCAAAGATTACAAGAAAAGTATTTCGAAGAAATAATCAGTGGGCAGATCATCTTTCTTTTTTTTTTGTCCACGTTATCTCATCTGCGGGCAGAAACACGAGTAGCAATGGAAGAGAAAGGCCTGCGTTGCAAACTGTTTTGCTCGGAATAGCTGCATTAATGGCGGGAAAAAAAATCGTTGACGGAAGAGCGGAAAAATTAGTCCTTGACGGTGTCTCTGCATTAGTTCACGGAAGATGAGTTCCCCTTCAGTTTGTCCCAGACTCTTAAGAATGGCGCCGAAAAGTTGTACTTTCTGCCTTCGAGCTAGTGGTGCACCGCGTGGAAGGTGCTGTTGTTGCCGAACCACCGGTGCAAGGGATAGGTAGGGAACCATATACCGGAGTGGTCGTCGAGGATCTTTACTACACTCACCCCGAAGAAGACGATGGAGGTAAGGTGAGAAATGCCGGAGAGAAGGAAGGCGGCGGCGCCGAGGGTGTCGAGGACAAACCCTTCCAACGGGTGGCTGTACAAGGCCTCCCGAAGGGATTGGGGACTACGAGGCGGTGGAGCCTCTCGTGAATATGTTTGTACATGAACTAGTTCGTGTGGAGAGGAATCGATGGCCCCAACACTGCCATGCGTCCTGAACCAGTAAGGCGATTAACAGCTGCCTCCCGACCACGATCAGCGATGTTCGCCTTCGCTGGTGAAGTATCTCTGGTCACGGCCTTCTGCGAAAAAGTAGGAGGGTTAAAACACAGACTCACATCCAGACTAAAGAGGGAAAGTTACATTTTCGACTGTGCTTGTACTTGAGGATTTCTCCGGTGATTCTCCGGTGGAGCAATCAAGACAAAGGCCGCACAGTTGAGCTAGAAGAACTCGATGTACACGATTCCCAAGATGCTCAACGTGCACGTTTCTCGAGATGACTCATGTTGGCTATAAATAAATGGTCTCTTCTCTTATTGTCATAGTTTAAGATTTCTTTTGAGGGCCAAGATAACATATCTCATATGAGTTAGAGTTCTCAATGAGAGATTTCTTTTATACTTGGTTCAAATCTAGTAAAATCTTTTAAGTCTCTTGGTGGTGTGTTGTTCGTTTCTCGTTTTCTTACTTCACAGCTTCTCACAAATTCATATTAGACATTTTACTACAACAAGGAGGTGCTATGATGTTAAGGAACTCTTCAAAGATCCAAGAAGACATCGATCCAGAATCGACATCTCCTAAGAGAAGGAAGGCGATAGTAGTAAAACTAGTTAAAATCTACAAATTATCCGATTGTATAAGAAAAAGAAGGATGGTTCTCATATGATCTTCTAACTGGTGGCGAGAGTTGCTGCTAGCTGAAGACTGAAGGTGGTATCGACCACTGCTCTCAAACAATAGGGTCACCAAGATACTTCGGCAAAGGGATGCCATATAGAATACTCTCCATTATGAAATGGTCTTCAAGATTGAGTAGGCCCCATCAGACCCCACGAGTATATCACACATGCACATATGCCATATTAACATAGCACAGGTCTATAGGATTGACGTGACTTAGTCGTTGTATAGTAAATCACACAAATTTAAAATTTATAAAATTAGAAAATATGATTTTTTAGATATTTAGAAGTATTTTTGAACAAATATATCAGTTATAATTCAATAAAACTTCTAAAAATAGCGGTAATTTTCTAAGTCAATCACAAGGATATAATATAATATCAAGTAATTATTTAGAATTTTCTTCAAAGAATACTATTTTCTATGAATTTTATACTAAGAAAAAAAAATTAAAATTTACGAAAAAGGGAAATAAAGGTGCGGACATCAGCATAACGTTAGCGCTTGACGATTCTTACGTAAGTGATTACATACGATTTAATTGATCAAATTAAGATCTGTAAAAGTCAGAAAAATCATAATTGAATAAAGTATATCTTGGTAAATTTAAATCACATAAATTATCACTAAATGAAGTGAAAATTAAGTTGAAAGTAAGAAAATAGAGTTCCAACATCGCGACAGTGACGCGTTAGCAGTGCATTGGAATCCTGAGCGTTCAAGAGGATCGTTGATGTGACCTAGTCGTTGTATAGTAAATCACGCAAATTTAAAATTTATAAAACTAGAAAATACAATTTTTTGGATATTTAGAAGTATTTCTAAAAAAATATATCAATTATAATTCAATAAAACTTCCAAAAATAGCAGTAATTTTCCACGTCAATCACAGGGATGTAATATAATATCTGGTAATTATTCAGAATTTTCCTCAAAGAATAATATTTTCTATGAATTTAATACTAATAAATGAAAAGAAAATATATTTAAAATTCATGAAAAAAAGGAAATAAGGGTGCGGATGTCAAGATGACATCAGCGTCCTAGCGAATATGAATCGGGTGGAAATAGAGTTCCGCCCGGTGATTCTTATGTAAGCGATTACAGACGATTTAATTGATCAAATTAAGATCTGTAAAAGCGAGAAGAATCGTAATGAAATGAAATATATCTTGGTAAATTTAAAATCAACAAATTATCACTAAATGAAACGGAAATTAAGTTAAAAGTAGAAAATAGCGTTCTAGCGTCGTGGCCGCGATGCGTCGGCGATGCACCAGAATCATGAGCGTTCGGGAGGATAGTCGTGCAGTGTCTATGCCCTCGAAGGCTCTCCTTGGACAAGGACGATGTGGGCAATCTCTAGATCTCCTTGCGAAGTCTAGAGATCAATGAGATGGGTCGTCGAATCGTATCCAGTGATTGTCACTTGGCAGAGCAGAAAAATGACGACTTTGCAGCTCTCTGGCGATTGTCACCCGACGGAGAGGAGCTAGATGGAGGTGGGACGCGTGTCAGGGAGCTTCATCTTCAGGTCTGCGTAGCAAGAGGAGGCTCTTCATCGCATCTGGTATGCTCTCAAGAGGTGACGACTCGTCTCCCGACGGATCGTCCTCTTCCCGATGACGGCTTGTTCGTCAATCAATTAGAGATGAGTTACTCAATAGATTCGTCATCTTTTTATCGCGAATCGTTTAGTAATTTTAGTAACAATGCTCCGCAAATCGCATTGACGAGATTTTTGCCGATGATCCAG